AAAATAAGAGGTAAAATTCAAAAACTGAGCCAGATGAAGCAAGTGAATCTCTTCAAGTTCAAGGCCACCCTGAACTAGATTAGTGAGACCCTGACTCAAAAAAAAATGAAAATAAATTACACTAAAACTAACTAAATACTTAGACGCAACAATGTTCAGACTATAAACTGGAAAAAAAAACAATTTTGATAGGTATGGCAGTGCACACCTGTAATACCAGCACTCTGCCGGCTGAGGTAGGAGGACTGCAGTGAGTTGCATGCCAGCCTCGGCTCCATGGTGAGTTTAAGGCCAACCTGAATTATATAATGAGACCCTGTCTCAAGAAAAAAAAAAAATACACTATTTATAAGAAATACAACCTGGGGGCCAGGGATTTAGCTCAGTGGTTCCGGCGCCTGCCTTGCAAGTGCAAGGTCCCAAATTCGATCCTGGGTACCAAAAAAAAAAAAAAAAAAAAGAAGAAGAAATACAACCTGAGGATGTAGCTCAGTGTTAGAGCACTCTGGGGTCAATCCATAGTACTGTCCACCCCCCGACCCCCCCCACCCCACCCCACCCCCCGCAAAGAGAGAAATACACTTTTAAATATAAAAAGCTAGGGCCAGGAATGTAACTCAGCAGCACAGCATCTGCTTGGCAAGCGTGAGGTCTTAAGTTCGATTCCTGGTACAAAAAATACATATATACAGAGAGAGAAGTAAAAAGAACATTTCACAATAAATGAATCAATTCAACAAAAAGCTATAATAACTGTTAGATATGCGTGGAGGTACATGCTGGTCATCCCAGCTACTGAAGAGGCTGAGGAAGAAGGATCCTAAGTTAGAGGTCATCATTAGCAAGACCTTGTCTCAAAATAAAAAATGGCTGGGGATTTCAGGGCATGATGGCGCACACCTGTAATCCCAGCACTCAGGAGGCTGGGGCAGGAGGACCACTGCAAGATCAAGGCCAGTCTGGGCTACAGTGAGTTCAAGGTCAGCCTGAACTGCACAGCTAGACCCTGTCTCAAAAACAAAACAAAACAAACAAACAAAAAAAGGTCTGGGGTTATACTTCAGCACTCCAAGGGGAGAGAGGCAGGAGGGAGGGAAGGAAGGAAGGAAAAAGAAAGGCTACCTATGGGAATAGGGTCCACCATCCTCTCTCTCTTCCTCAGCTTGCTGAGCCAGAGTCCTGAGTGGCTTTTCTTGAGGGGAGGCACAAACATCCGGCAGGGATGATTTCCTAGGCTGGGCTCCTGGTTTTACAGACTGGCTGTCTGACGGCAATAAAGGTCTCTCCCCCCCCAAAATGCATTGGAGGAAGAATCACAAATATTGCTCCACACTGCCCATTCTCAAATCACACTCTGCTGCAGAAATCAGCATCTTGTCATAAAGACTTCTTAGTTAGACAGCTCCATGAAGTATACTATATATACAGTGACCGTCTTCTCCTAAAGACAGGATCCCAAGGAAAATACTAAAAAGTGCAAGGCCAGGGATTTAGCTCAGTGGTTCCAGCACCTGCCTGGCAAGTGCAAGGTCCCGAGTTTGATCCCCCGGTACCAAAAAAATGAAATAAAATAAAATAAAATAAAATAAAACTGTAGGCCGGGGATTTAGCTCAGTGGTTCTGCTGCCTGCCTCACAAGTGCAAGGACCCAAGTTTAATCCCTGGTACCAAAAAAAATAAAAAAATAAAACTGCAGATCCAAATCACTCATCGTAAAGTCAGGGAGTTGAACTAGATAACTGCTATGGTCTTTATAATTGTAATATGCTTTATGCTCTCCATTTTTTCTAATAGAAAACTCAATTTAAGCCATACACAGTGGCACACATCTGTACTCCCAGCTACATGAGAAGCTAAAGCTGGAGGATCACAAGTCTGACCCCAGCCTGGGTAACAACAGCAGGACCCTGTCTCAAAAAACAAAAAGGGGGGTGGGGATTTAGTTCAGTGGCACCGTGCCTGTCTCACAAGTGCAAGGTCCTGAGTTTGATCCCCAGTACAAAAAAAAAAAAGAGAGAAAAAGAGGTGGGCTATAGCTCAATAGTAGAGCACTCAGCATATGTGAGGCCCTGGGTTTAATATTTACAGCCTCTAATATTTACATACATATACTATATGCACATATACATATATATGCACATATATCCATCTATATCTCAGTGGTGCTTTTACCCCTGCCTAACCCAAAGTGACATTCTTGCCCAAAAAGCTCTTTTAAAGATCACCAGACTTTAGCCAGGCCTGGTGGTACACATCTGTAATCCTAGCACTCAGGAGGCTGAGGCAGGAGGACCACTGCAAGTTCCAGGCCAGCATGGGCTACATAGTGAATTCAAGGCCACCCTGAACTACATAGCAAGACCCTATCTCACAAAACAAAACAAAACAAAGATCACCAGATTTTGAATGTAGTCTTCTCAGGCATCATTACCTTCCTCTCTCCTTAATTTCGGGGGGGTGGTGTGTGTGGGGGGGTGCTGAGGATCAAACCCAGGGCCTCTCACACTAGGCAAATGCTCTACCACTAATCTGCATCCCCAGCCCTTGCCACTAAATTGGAAAGTACTGTGTTCTTAAAACTCTCCTACTTCTTTTGGGCCAGGGATTTAGCTCAGTGGTGCCACCACCTGCCTCACAAAGTGAAAGGTCCCAAGTTTGATCACTGGTACCAAAAAAAAAAAAAACTCTCCTACTTCTTTTGACTTTTACTACTACTTCTTTAGTCGTCTTCCTCACCCAAGGCTATCTCTAATCTGCTACTCCATTCCCTCCAGATAAAATGCAGGTGCTCCAGAAACAACAAGCTACTCTGGACAAGATTGTAACTACACAGCCCCGAGTGATGGCAAGGACTGATTCTACAGGAGGGCACTTTTCCCTAAAAGAACTTCCATCTCTGACCACATCCTCAAACAACTGATCTCCTACCCCACTAGTTTTCAAACACAGTAGTAAAAAACATGATATTCTGCTGTACAAACAAACACAACACACTGTCAGTACTGACCCAGTACATTAATTGTGGAAAAATCCCAGGATAATGTACCAGAAGGACAAAACAAGACCAAGTGCTTAAAAGACCGCAAATTAGGCATCTTAAAAATAACTCAAAATAGGGCCGGGGATGTAGCTCAGTGGTTCCACGGCCTGCCTCACAAGCTCAAGGTCCCGAATTAGATTCCCAGTACCAAAGTACCAAAAAAAAATTAAAAAGGAAGAAGCCAGGCTGATATCTTTCTAAAGCACAAACATGGCCGGGGATTTAGCTAAGCGGTTCTGGTGCCTGCCTCAAAAGCGCAAAGTCCCGAGTTCAATCCCCAGTACCAAAAAGAAAAAAACAAATCTAAAGCACAAATATGTTCTGCTTAGTCAATTAAAATGTCTACCACCTACCGACAGGAAAAAAGTTCAAACACCTTAGTATGAAAAGTGCTGTCTTTGCTACTCCGAAGTCTTCTCCCACCACTTCCAAGCCACTCAGTCACCATCCACTTCTGCCTGTGTACCTCTACGCAGACTGTCCCAGCCTCGTGACCACTCCACCTTCAGGTCCTGCGTCTCCATCTCTCCAGCATCTTTCACATGTCTCAGACAGGCCAATCTGCTTTCAGCAGTCCTAGGACTGACACCAGGGACTTCACACTGAACTACCATCCCCATCTGCTTTTTTTTTTTTTTGAGACACGGTCTCACTAAATTGCTAAACTGCCTAGTCTAGGCCTCAACTTGTAATTCTCCTCCACGACTCAGCCTCCCAGAGTGCTGGGATCCTAGGCACCACTCTGGGCTCAGTCATCTCTCCTTTAAAAATTTCTGGCTGCACTGCCCTTTCCACAAGCCTTATTTCATGGATACCTACCAAATCACTAAAGCCTATTCATAGCTCATCTCTCTAGACATGCAGAATAAAGGATGAAGGTAAAGAAGGGATGAAGACTTTAAAAAAGAAGGGATGAAGAGGGCTCAGGGAGTGGGAGGGGAAGAGTGTCTCTCTCCATTCATGAAGCTCACCACTGCTCCCTGATGAGCCCCACGGCTCCAATTCCACCTGAAATCAGCATCCCCTTTCAGAAGCGCTTCTCTGCAAGGGTATTACAGAAAAGCAATGACAAAGCAACACAGGTTGAGTATCCCTGAGGATCCTTATCTGAACTGGGTCCAGGGAGTTTCGGATTTCAAGTGTTTTTCAATCTGGAAATCTGTACATATATATTATCTCAGTCATAAGGCTTACATCTAAATACAAAATTCATCTATTTTTCATATTCATCTTGCACATATATCCTGAAGATTTTTTGTGGTACTGGGGATTGAACACAGCCTTCACACTGAGCTATATCCCCAGCCCTTTTTTTTTTTTTTTCTCCAGTACTAGGGATCAAACTCAGGACCTTGAGCTTGCCAGGCAAGCATGGCGCCACTGAGCTATGTCCCTGGCCCTTTATTTTTATGTAGTTATTTCTTTTGGTTTTACTATACGGCTTAGGCTGACCTCAAACTTGCTATCCTCCCTCCTCAGGCTAAGAGTGCTGAGATTATGACCAGCATCTCACTGAGTAACTAAACTGCTCAGGCTGGACTAGCATTTGCAATCCTCCCACCTCAGCCCCACTCCACCCTGGCCCTGGCTCAAGAGCTGGGATTACAGGCATGTGCCACCATGCCTGACACCTGAAGGTAAAGGGGGTGGTTTAATAGGCTTTTGATTTTTTTATTTTGAAACAAGGTCTAAGTTGTTAAGTTGTTCAGCCCAGGCTCAAACTTTTCAACCCTCCTGCCTCTGTCTCCCAAAAACTAATTTTATATCATATTTTTAGTATGCCTACATTTTGACTACCCCTCCACACAAAGTCAGGTATGGAATTTTCCACTTGTAGTATCATGTCACCACTTAATGTTTTGGATTTTGGAGCATGTCAGGTTTGGGATTTTGGATTAGGGATGCTCAACCTATGTATATTAACAAGCCAAATGGAACCTACAGACCTTTCATATCTTACCTCCTTCCTCTTTGACTTCTTCACCAGGCTCTCCTGCAAAGGGTTTCTTCATGATAGGAAGATCACCTCTGTCTTCTTGGGTAACTAGCCCAGGCCTGATGACAACTTTCTTCCCCCTCTTTGAAGCAGTGGCCTGGAGTTTTCCTTTACCAATGTGTACATTAGGAGAGTGGGAAGACTCCAAGGAAGTTAGGGTGATTTCCTGAGAAATGGCCTCATCAACAGCTTCTAAACTTGGTAAATTTGTGTCTTGGGTTAGTATCCTAGAGCTCAACAATGGAGCCTCCACACCAGGCTGATTTCCTACATTCTGCACAGACTGAACTTCAAATCCAACTGTTCTGCCATGACTTGGACCCCAGGACAACGACACTGACCCCAAGTCCTTAAGCAGGTCAGATTCTGGTTTAACAGCTGACTCTTGGTCTAAGTTGTCTTCCTCCTGGCTGCTCTTATCCTGTGAGTTCTCCGTCACTGTAGTTCTTCTCTTCTTACAGGGCAACATTTTAAAAGTCCCACTTTTGTTCCATCCTAAAAGGATAAAAGCAAGTTAATACCTTCATATTAATTAATGGTAATGACATTTACTCAATTATCTTTTCATTTTTATTCATGTCCAAGCATGAATATAATATTCTATTCCTTTAGGTAGAGAATGAGAAGCAATTAGAATGAGTTCAAATCCCAACTGTACTATTGATTAGTAAATTATAGGGCCAGGGATTTAGCTCAGTGGTTCCGCAGCCTGCCTCGAAAGCACAAGGTCCCAAGTTCGATCCCTGGTACCAAAAAAAAAAAGTGATTAGTACACTATGTTGGGCAGTGACCTAACCTCCCTAAGCGTGTTTCCTCAACTATAAATAAAAAAAAAAAAAAACTAATTGTTCTTACCTAAAGAGTTATTATTAAGAGTTCTTATACATATTAAATAGTAAATGACTAATAAGTTTTAGTTATTAGTTTAACTAAATCAGAGAATGAAAACAGTGTGATGCTGAGAGCAAAGTGTAAAGTCAAACTGTCTGGATTTGTTTCCCAAGTCAACTCCCCATTCTTATGACTTTGCCTAAGTTACACAACCTAAATCTGTCTCTGCAGCCATAAAATGAAATAAAAATAGCACCTACATCACTAGGTAAAAAATGATCAATAAATGTTTGCTATTGGTGTTTTCATAAACAGGTACTCCCATTAATAGAAACATCCCAAAACCAAAGTGGTTATTTTAGAAGGTTGGCTATATTAACAGAAATTCTGTGTCAAAACAAGAAAAAGGAAATTTCTACTGTTCTCTGTACCACGGTACTTCTGAACTCTTGGCTTCAATTATAGCTACCACATCTTTTTTTTTTTTTTTTTGTACCGGGGCTGGAACTCAGGTTGAAGCAGGAGGCGAAACCACTGAGCTAAATCCCCGGCCCTAGTTACATCTTAAAGGCAATACTGATCTAAACTGGATAATAATTTTCTTTTATGTTCTTAGGGGACCTGTCTGCAAAATACTTTTTTTTTTCTGGGAATCAAACTCAGAACCTTGCGTGGGCACTCTGCCACTGAGCCCTTGCAAACCACTTTTATAGTACTGTACTTTTCTAAGTATCTCTACTTATCTGTCTCCCTCCCTCAAAACTATGAACTTGTTGAACTAAAGGACTCCTTCAACTGGTACCATTAGTATCCATGAGTATCTAGGTACTATAGATACTTCACGTAGAATTCCTGAATAAATGATTGAAAGGGGACTTAGGGCTGGGATGTAGCTCACCGGCGCTGCGCCTGCCTGCCAAGCACACGGTTCTGAGTTCGGCCCCTGGTACCGGGAAAAAGGGGGGGGGGGGGCTTAAACTACAGCATTTGGACCAACCATTAAGCATTATCTGGGAACTGGTTGCACCTTTCCAAGCAAACACTACTCTCGTAAATAGGTCCTAGAACAGAATAAGCTGCCCGGCGTTACAGTGAGTTCTCCATCACTTCAGACATTTAAGCAAAGTCTGAATGCCCATGTAACAAGGTACTAGAGAAAACAGAAAAAGGAAAGATTCGTTGATTCCTGGGAGAATGCTGAGTGGGTAAGGAGGGAGTGAGAGTCACCTATGAGACTCCTGTATTTCACAAATGATTTACTCAAGTCCAGAAAAGACCAAAAAAAAAAAAAAAAGAAAAAGAAAAGAAAGAGGGAAAAAAAGAAAAGCTACCATTCAAAAGTCAGCAGGATGCGGGAATTAGCTGCAGGCACCTCACACACAGCAGTAGCTCTAAAGTGTCCGCTTCTTTGGTGTCGGCCCAACTTGGTGAATGAATGCCAACCCGAAGGCAGCTCCGGTGCAGCCTCCTCCTGAGAAAACATTTCAAAAACGGGTCCTAACTGCGCTTTCCACCTCAACGCCAAGCACTGGCCCAAGTCTCCAGGACCAATTAAACACCGGCGCACCCCTGACTCCGGGCACGCAGCCCGCACCCCCCTCAAACCCGACCCTCTCACCCCAAACACCCTCTGCCCAGGTGTCCCAGGTCCATCCTGCCTCTTCCCGCCCACCACACACTAGAGGTACACTCACAAGCCGGCCAGATCCCGCGGAAACTCGGTTTCTGCACCAGCGGAAGTCAGGCAACGGCAGCGGCTGACGTGCGCGCCCCCGAGACGCGGTGCGCGGCTGCTTACGGCATCAAGGAGCATGCGCCACACGCTAGGCGCCATCTTGTTTTAGGTCCAAATGAAGCCACGGCGCTAGTACATCAGTTCCTGGCAACAACAACAAAAAAATTAAAGGCATCAATTCGATTTCTCCGCCCGTGGATCTAACTTACTAAAAACTGGGGACCTGAGATTCAGTGCTTTAGTTTGATAAGTAATTATTCTCTTCGAGATACATGTGAAACGTAGTTAGAAAAGGAGAATTTACAAAATTTAAGAAAGGAATCTCTAGGTTACAAATAGCGCAGGTTCCTGACTAAAACTAAGGCGGATTTGGAATCAAGCCATAGCAGTTATTCATATCTTGTAATATTCTGCATTTTACAAAATACTTTCATTTGTATTAGGTGGTCTGGACTCCACAGTAAACCTTGTGGGCCAGTGGATATTATTACGCATTTCATTTTCCACTTTGCACAGAATAAAGCTTTCTGGCTCAGCTGAGTAGCTTATTTCATAAAGATACACCGTTATCAAGGGGAATCAGTAATCTAGTATCTTAGGCAGGTAGCTCTAGCACCTAAGGCACTGACCTAGAGCCCAGGAAAGTAAGTGCCTGGGGCATAGTCAGTGTTCAATAACTCAGTAAGTTTTTTGAAGGAGTGAATGACTCGAGGGACCATGTTCTTTCTACTTTCCTAGAAGGGCATCAAAGCTGGAAAAATTCATTCAGCTCCCTCAATTTACAGGTGAGCCACCAACAAACATTTCTGCATTGGAACTGATCTGGCTGTAAACTGAATCCGACAGGATAAAAGTATCCACAGCCAAATGATGGGTGAAATAGTGGCTACAATTGCCCGAAGTCTGACTCTAGCCTGAATCACATCAAGTCTCCCAAATGTCAAGACGTCTACGAAAGTTTGTTCTTTCACCTGCACTCTCCTTTTGACCCCACAGAATACACAGGTCTTCTGATCTATTTGCCCCTTGTCCCCTTTCCTAAGCAGCCTTGAGCACTTGAAGCTCACGGAAGAGGAATGTTCACCACTGGTTAACTTTGGCTCTTTTCATTAGTCTTTTATTTTTAAACCGCTTCGATTCACACCATCTGTTTTGGTTTGGTACCGGGGATCCAACTCGGGACCTTGCGCTTGCGAGGCAGGCGGCGGAACCACTGAGCTAAATCCCCAGTCCACACACCATCTGTTTTACGTGTACAATTAAAGGGCCGGGGATTTACCTCAGTGGTTCCGGTGCCTGCCTCGCAAGTGCAAGGTCCCGAGTTCAATCCTGGGTACCAAAAAAAAAGAGTGGGAAACGTGAACAATTAAACGATTTTTAGTCAATTTTCAGAGTTGTGCAACCCTCCCTGGGTTTGGTTTTTATTCAGAGCTTGTGAAATGTAAGAAATTTGCCATAATTACCTTTAGTGGTCTCAAAAATGCATAACAATGGTAATCGATACAGAAATCCAGGCAGTGCATAACTCTGTTTTCACAAAATCCTGGAACCTAGAACGTCCTGCTCCTATAAAAGCCCGAGGAACCGGAATCACAGGACCTATTAAAGTTCGTGCGACATCTACGTACCCTTCTCACCCTGCCACACAGACCCACAGCCCGTTAGTGGGCGGGGCCTCATTCTCGGAACGTGCGGCACGGGAGGAGTCGCCTCCGAGAGCTTTCGGAAAGGGGCGGGGCCTGTCTTCCGGAACCTTTCGGCAGAGGCGGAGTCTCTTCCCGAAGACCGTTCGGAAAAAGGCGGAGTCTGTCTCTCATCAGGACCAGTCTGACTGCACCTGCATCCTGAGCTCAGAGCGTCCCTGGAGCATCTTAAGTGGAGAACGCAGCTGGCAACCAGGGACTGAAGCGTCGCAGGAGACGTCGGCCAGACACCTTCCCCCACCCAGACCTAGAGATCCACAGCTGCAGCCTCGGTACTGGCTGGGGCTTCCCGGAGTTACCTGACCGTTGCATTCAATAGCAGCAGCCTCTGATTGCGACATGGCTGAGATCACCAATATCCGACCTAGCTTTGGTAAGTAGAGTGGGGCAAACGGAGCTCGCCGCTGTCAGGCTGTTGCAAAGTGAAGGGCACCGCAGTGGGCAGGGGTGAAAACGGCGGAGGGGAGCATCAGTGTGCCAACCCCGCCAGAATGGGGCCCACGGCGGCAGGTAGCAGGCAGTGGACAGCGCCTGCGCTTGAGCTGTGGGCTGCAGGGACGGGCAAGGCCGGGGAAGCCCGGGATGCTGAACCTCGTGTGGTGCGCGGTCAGCGCTACTGGAGGCGAGAACGGCTAGCGGGCGGAGGAGGGAACCCTCCTTCGGGGGAGGGGTGGGTTGAGCCCTCCCCTGGGGCACGCAGGGCGGTGCCCCTTCCCTCTCCCTCCCAAGGGCTGCGGGGGAGGGAGGCGCGGGGGATGGGGCACCAAGATGGCAGCCTCGGGACTGGGCCGTGCGGCGGCGGTCAGGCAGGCGGAGGCCTCTGGGGAGATAGGGGTGCGGGGGTGGGCAGCCAAGAGGAACCCACTCCCGAGACTGTCAGCTGAACGCCGCGCTCAGAGGAAACGTCAGGCCTGGGGTCTGCGTTCTGCACCGTAATGGTGGGGTCCGTCGAATGCTACCAAATGGCGCTTGGCGCTGCTGGGCTGGGGGATGACGTGATGTCTATTTCTGGGCCTCCTGGCAGCGCCTAGGCTCTCCTTCCGGGGCCTTTGTTCCCTGTTTCCCTGGGCTGCCTTTTCAAAAAGGGGACTCAGCCGCGCTGGTGCTGGGGCGCGGGGGAGGGGCGAGAGGCCGGCCCGGGGAGGCCGCTTTGTGTACGGAGAAAGCATTACGTCATCCCGGGCGGCTGGTCCCCCACCCACCCTGGGAGCCCCGGGACCAATTTAACACTCCTTGAGGCAGAAAGTGAAGTCGAAAATAGAGAAGGTAAGGAAAACAAGCTCCAGATGCAAGGTTTTGTGTGGGGGTTTTTTCCTCTTTGGAAATTCCTCCAGAATGGACTGTGGAGAGCAAACTTCTTAAGCTGTGCTTCCTGGTCAAATAAATTAAGTTAAATTTGCCTGCCCCCTCCTCTTGGCTGCTACAGTTCAGGTTTGGGGAAGTGAGTGAGAGTTGCTTCCTGTTTCTTAAGGGATTCTGCCCCTCAGACAATCCAGATGGTTTGAGTACCGGATTCCAGGACTTGGGGTGGGAACACAAGCTAGCTTTTTTTACTCCCCTGTAAGAAGTACACTGAAATGACAGAGGCTGTGTGCCCTCAGTATAAGAGAGGAGACATTTTGTCAGGGCAACAACCCAGACAACAGCTTCACACCCACTCACTGCTTGTTCCCACTTATTTCCCAGGACCATTCTGGATGTCTTTCTCCCTTTCACCTACCCTCTATCCTTTGAGTTCTACGTTTCCAAAATTGAAGTCCCTTTTGTGATCACATGAGCAACCCATGATTTCAATACTGATCTTTCTTCTTATGGCCTCTTTCCAACAGATTCCTTTCTCTAATTACAGTTCCCGAGTCCTTGGGAAAGTAGGTGATAGAAAACATAGTGATTTCTTTTAGAAGGAATATTAGTGGAAAAGGGAAAAAAGTTATCCTTTTACTTACATTTTATTTAATCCTAACAAATACCTGCTGGTGTAGGTATAATTACTTATATTCATCAGATGAGGAAACTGAAGCCCAGGGAGATAAAGTAAGTTGGCTAAAGCCAAACAAACTAGTAAGGGTAGCCCTACAATTTGAGGCAATGTCTGGTTGAAGCCAGAGTCCACCTGGACCCACATATTACCCTGGCCTACTTGACAGTGAACAGGTGTGTTCGGGGAAGGAAGGGTCAGTGATCAGTCTGGTCAGAGGCTGAAAGAGCTGGCACAGCCTGGATATGTCCTGCAGTCTCTGGACCATTGCAGAGGACCTCCTCCACAGAGGAGTGCTGCTTCTGACTTCCCTGTATCTCACAGTGCTTCATTTCAAACGCCTTAGGGTTTGGTGGATACACCAAGGCAACACATGGTTTTCTGTGACCATGGAAAAAATAAGCAGCACAGTCACTTCAATTTACAGCTGCTTTGAAACTCTCACTTCAGCCATGAAGTGTAACTTCCTTCCACCAAACTTTTGACAAAAGCAAGACAGAGGGCTTTGCGTTCCAACATCTCTGATACTTCTCGTTCACTGCTTTGGGTGTTGAGGACTGAAGCAAAAGTTAACAAATACTTAATGTTAAGAAAGTAGGCCAGCTTGAGCTACATAGTAAGTTGGAGGCCAGCCTGAACTACAGAGCCAGACTGTTTCAAAGCAAACAAACAAAAGTAGGACAAAAATGGGGGGAAAGGTGCGGGAGAGCAGCTGGACAAATCCACAAATGGGTTCATCTGTTTCCCTTCTTTTCCCTCTCCATCCTTCTGAATGATGAGAATCTTTCCTTGCCTTTCTTTCCCACCCTGCCTCCATTTTCTAAAAAAAAAAAAAAATTAATGCAAATAAGCCACGGTGGGTTCCCTCATGGTCACTGAGTGAATCAATAATAGAGCTGTGAGATTTCCTTCTCAGATCATTCTCAGAAAGATAATTTTCTTGCTAGTTCCCTGCTTTCCTCTCTTCACAGATACAATGTTCAATTTCACTAAGCAATAGAAAGAAATCTGCAGGAAAGACCCTGATTAGGGAAGAGAAAGCCACGTCTTCAGACAGTGGCCATTAAATTGCCAATTGGATCCGTCAGTTGTTCCACAAATGGCTGAGCTTCTGTGAGATGTGAGAGACTGGGAGGCTCAGAGGTGCACAGGATATGGTTTGTATGTCCTCAAGGAACTTACCACCAAGGCTGTCTCCCTTTTTTAAAAATAAACTCTCCATAAAACCACTTATTTCATGGACTACTTTGAGACTGAACTCTTAGTACTCAGTATGAGCATGGACATAGTCACCTTGATTTATTGGTTACTGATGGCTTTATCCTTATTGCCTATATTACTTTAAACTATATCTTCTGCTGTTTATTCATTCCCAGCTTTCATAGAATCATGGAGATAGTATTTCAAAGACAGCTAGTCTGGTCCCCATCGAAAAGATCCCTTTTAGAACATGCCTGATCGGAGCCAGGGATTTAGCTTAGCAGCGCCGCACCTGCCTGGCAAGTACAAGCTCCTCAGTTCAATCCCCACTACCAGGAAAAAAAAAAAAAAAAAAAGAACATACCTGATCGATCATGATCCAACTTCTCCCATTTGAAAATTTTGTGCTTGGGCTGGGGATGTAGCTCAGTGGTTCTGGCGCCTGCCTCGAAAGTGCAAGGTCCCGAGTTCGATCCCCAGTACCAAAAAAACCAAAAAAAACAAAAAAAGAAAATTTTGTGCTGAAGAATCACCACCCCATGAAGCAATCTGGGGCACTGTGAGGCAGTTCTAATAACAACTTGACTCACTGAGTCAAAACCTGTCTCTCTGTAACCTATGCACATTGTTGTGTGCCGTGTGCTCCACAGTAATATCAAATCAAACACTTCCATAGAGATGCCTAAAATAACTGTAATCGAAGATTATTATTCCTAGACACCCCTCAGCTTCAGTTTCTTCAGTTTTTCATTTAATTTGGTTATTGGGTTTTTTATTTTTGTGATTATCCATAATGTAGAGTGTCGACTCTTTTGTCCAGCTGACCAGAATTTATATCCCATTACTGCCATTTGCTACTATGCAGCTTCAGGCAGATTTCTGAGTTCTTAGCTATAAAGTAGGGGTATTAATGGTCCTATTCAATGAGTCCTTTGGTTGAGACATAAAAACTCTGGCATGATGCTTGGCAGGGACATAATAAATGCACACATAAAAAAAGTAGCAATTCTATTATTGTCAGTGCTGTACAGGAGGCTCTACATGTGTTGTGAGCGGTACAGATGAAACTATGTTTACCCCTTGTGAGATGTGAATATCATGCTTATATTATAAACTAGTATTAACCTAATTTTAGTCCAAGCTTGTAGTCACCTAAACTACTGAAATATGTTTGCCCAGACTTACCAATTAAGGTTGTTGCCTTTAGGTAGGTTTTTAAAATCCAAATAGAAATTTACTCTTGGGCCGGGGATTTAGCTCAGTGGTTCTGGCTCCTGCCTTGAAAGCTGAGGACCCGAGTTCGATCCCCGGTACCAAAAAAAAAAAAGAAATTTACTCTTATACCTGCTATTGAACTCATCCTTTGTTCTAGTCTCTGGCAGCTGTTTTGAGTTTACTAACTTGGTCGTTCACTGAGCACTTACTACCTGTCACATGGTTCCAGGACCTAGCAGTAAACCACACAGACAGCATCACTGTTCTTACTAATTTTGCCTAATAAGGGAAGACTGATAAACAGACATAAGTCAGGGTAATAAGCACTATGAAGAAAAATAAAGCAGGAGGATGGAGATGTCACCTCACTCGGGGCAGATGGGAAATACTTCTCTGTTAAGGCGAGGTTTGAGATGAGACCTGCAATAAATGCAAGTGCCTGATAGAGTGTTCTAGGAAGAGTCTGGAATATTCTGGACTTACATTCATTTTCCCAGTTTTCTCTCTCTTTTTTTTCCTGGTACTGGGGATTGAACTCAGGACCTTGCGCTTGCCAGGCAGGCGCAGCACCACTGAGCTACATCCCAGTCCCCTAGTTTTCTCTTCTCTCCCAGTGTTCTCCTAAAAATCAGGTGAAAACTGTGGGCCTTTTCTTGGCCTTTAAGGCCCAAACCCATTTGGCTTCAGTGAACTTGCTTGGGGGTAGAGGGAGCAAAGCTAAATACCTAAGCAGAGTCGTGCCTTTATGGGGAAAGACAAGACTGAGGAAAGGAACAGAAAAAGATCTGTTTCTCTTTAGTTACTGTTCATCCCCTAAAATGTACGTAAGTGGCTGCTATGTTTTCAGGGCTACAAATACAGCAATGAGCAAAACAAACATAAAGCCCTGCCCTCAAGGCATACATTCTAGGGAGGACAAACCCTAAGTAGTAAATTTATGGGTAGTGTGTGTATTTACTCTTACATGTGTGTGCATCACATTTTTACATGTGTGTACATGTGTACAGGAAACAGATGATGACAAACATATGAAGAAAAATTAAACAGAGGGCCGGGGATTTAGCTCAGTGGTTCCGCTGCCTGCCTTGCAAGCGCACGGACCCAAGTTCAATCCCCAGTACCAAAAAAAAAAAAATTAAACAGAGCTCAGAAGCTTGGGTGCTGAGGCTGAAGAAGACTGCACTTCTAAACAGGATAGCGCAGCCAGCGGGTGGAGCCAGTGGTGGAGCACTTGCCTGGCAGGTATAGGTGTTGGGTTTGATCCTTAGCACCAGGATAGGTAGACAGACAGACTAGAAGAAGGTGACATTTGAGCAAAGCTCTGGCATTTTTCACAGTCCTATTTCTTCCTGTTTAAAATACTTGTGTTTTCAATACTTGGAAACTAGAATTTTGGAACATTTAGAAGTATGCAGACCCGAAGTTTTCTTTTAATCACCTATCCTTGTTACCACCCTTGGCCACAATACCAATTGCATCTAAATGCAATTCCACATCCCTTCTCTCTCCTGGTAATCAGTCAGCACAGGCCCCTGTTTACATAGCCTGTGCTGGAGGTTGTGGAAAATCCTCTGGAACCAACGATGTAGCTGATGACCACTAAGTCAGCAGGTTCCCATGGAAAAAGGTGGCCTCAGAACATTACAGAGCAGCTTTCTGGGAAGCGCAAATCATTATGCGACAACTAGGTCTACAGGTGCTGAGAGGTTAAGAAAGAACAGGGAATTGGGGACAACCAGAGGGGGTTGGTGAGGAAGCTGAATGCTTCTCGAGGGTCTGGCAGGAAGAGGAAGATGTGGGTTGGGTGGAGAGGATGGTGACGGCATCAGTCCCTGGAGCAAGAGGCTCTGAGGCCCAGGGGAGCATGCTCTGCTCTGGACGTCGGGGTGCCGACCGGCCTGGCTGCAGCACAGGCACTGAACAGGGCAGAGCTGGATGGGCTGAGGCCACTGCCCTGACACCTCTCTGGTCTCCTGCAGATGTGTCCCCTGTGGTGGCTGGGCTCGTCGGGGCCTCTGTGCTGGTGGTGTGTGTTTCGGTGACTGTCTTTGTGTGGACATGCTGCCACCAGCAGGCAGAGAAGAAGCACAGGACCCCACCGTACAAGTTTATACACATGCTCAAAGGCATTAGCATATACCCAGAGACCCTGAGCAGCAAGAAGAAAATCATCAAAGTGCGGAGAGACAAGGATGGCCCTGGGAGGGAAAGCGGACACGGGAGCGTGTCAGTGGACGCAGCAGAGGCTGGCCTGCTAAGCCGAGACGAGGCGGCCAGGGGGCCCAGCTCTGGCTCATGTATAGACCAGTTACCCGTCAGAATGGACTATGGGGAAGAACTGAGGAGCCCCATTACGAGCCTGACACCAGGGGAGAGCAAAACCAGCTCTCCATCATCTCCAGAGGAAGATGTCATGCTGGGGTCCCTCACCTTCTCGGTGGACTATAATTTCCCGAAAAAAGCCCTGGTGGTGACAATCCAGGAGGCCCATGGGCTGCCAGTGATGGATGACCAGACCCAGGCCTCTGACCCCTACATCAAAATGACCATCCTACCTGACAAGCGGCATCGGGTGAAGACCAGGGTGCTGCGGAAGACCCTGGACCCCGTGTTTGATGAAACCTTCACCTTCTATGGCATCCCGTACAGCCAGCTGCAGGACCTGGTGCTGCACTTCCTCATCCTCAGCTTCGATCGCTTCTCTCGGGATGATGTCATCGGGGAGGTCATGGTGCCATTGGCCGGGGTGGACCCCAGCACAGGCAAGGTCCAGCTGACCAGGGACATCATCAAGAGAAACATCCAGGTGAGCAGGAGGAGTGTGTGGGGAGGCACAGTGGGCTGGGGAAGACAAGCTCTCAAGGCGGCAGGCTGGGGAGGATAGAGGCAAAGGGGGCATTCCCAAGGTTCTTGGCTACCAAGGGTGAGCAGCGGTCAGAGCAAAACAGCCTGGCAGGTTAGTTCTCAGAAGAAGAACTTCCAAAAGAGAGAAGGGGATCACCTCGAAAGCTTCGCTGAGTGGTTGGCCTCCTGATGCTGTGTCCCATTGGCCTGGGACCGGCTGGCCCACCAGCTGGGACCCTCCATCGTGTGAGGGATGTGCAGGCTAAGTTCTCCGAGACACTGTGATCTTCCTCCAGGGAACTTATTTCTCACTGCTGGGAAACTGAAAAACTATAGCTCGTTAATTTTGTCCTCAGCTTCCTTTTCCCAACCTGAACCTAGGGGTATAAAGAGTATCATGCATGTGTCTTCTTATAAACATTTTGTAAGCCCAGTCAGTGACTTGCTTCACCCTTCAAGGTCCAAACCTGTGCCTCTCTCAGTTCCTCCTCTCCCCACTGGGAGAGGGGTGAGAACCCCCACCCTGCCTCCTGCGTCTTTCCCCACTGGTAAGGTCAGCTCTTGAGTGCATTCCTTGTGGGAGGACTAGAAGTGTGCCTCCCACGCAGGTTCGCTCATTCCTTCCCCTGCTTGGGAGGCAGGGTAGTGCCCTGCCGTTTATGCGGGTAACACTGCCTTCCTTACAAGGTTGTGCAGCTCAAACAAGATAAGCTAACTGGCACATTGCTGTCCTTGAAGAGCTTTCGCTTTATTGAAGGAGAAAGATGAACATTTTCGGCAGTTACCAGGTGCTATAAAAGTTCTCAAAATTTTGAACTTAGAATTTTATTCCTTTTTGTTCCTTTTTTTTTTTTCTTTTGTACCAGGGATTGAACTTGGGTCCTTGTGCTTGTGAGGCAGGCAGCAGAACCACTGAGTTAAATCCCTGGCCCCAGAATTTTATTCCTTTTTCAGATTATAACTTAAGTGTTTAACAGCAAGACCTTTGAAGTCAGTCCAAATTCCACTGGCTAAAAGACCTTGGGAAAGCTGTTCAACTTCTCTAAGTCTTAGTTTCTCATAGGAATAAAGCAAAATGGGTGAATTTGCATAGTCCTTAGCACATAGTAAGCATTTAATAAATTATGGCTATTACTATTTTTTTTTTTTTTTTTTTGAGACAGGGTCTCACTGTGTAGTTTAGGCTGGCCTTGAGTTTACTGTGTAGTCCAGGCTGGCCTTGAACTCACAGTGGTCCTCCTGCCTCAGCCTCCCGACTGCTGGGATTACAGCCCACACCACCATGCTCGGGTATACCTATTACTGATAACATTTGATCCCTGGAAGGTATATGTGGTTTTATATTTATATTGTGTTATGACATGATAAAGGAAGGTAAGGGAAGCCTGAATCAGTGGAGAAATAGGTTTAGGAAGGATCACAAGGCCACTAAGAACAACTACACATCTCCTAGAAAGAACCCTGCCCATAGTCTGTCTCTGTCTCTCTGTCTCTCTCTCTCTCTCTCTCTCTGTCTGTCTCTCTCTCTCTCTCACATCTTCAGCTTGAACTCCAGGGCATTCATACATCTCCAGCCTTTGTTTTTTACTTTGAGACAGAGTCTCTCCAAGTCCCTCAATTGCCCATCCTGGGCTCAACTTGCAGTCCTCCTACCTCAGCCTCCCACAGTGATGGGATTACAGGCCTGCGCCACTGCACCGGGCTGTATTTCTCTCGATGCCTTTTTAGACTCAAGGGAGACAGGGGACTCAATGTTGAACCAAAGAGGATCGTAGACTAGCAGAGGTGGTGCATGCAGTGAGTACCCGGGAAGCTGTGCCCACCAAGGAAGCGCACCGTGCCCGTGTGGGGTGGGGTGGGGTGGCAGGAAGACACCCCCCAGGCATGTGTTCTTCCCCTCTGCTCTGAGGTGGGCACTGTCCCACTGCAGCCAGCCCAGTCGTGCCCGGAGAAACTGCTGCCGCCACTTGGCACACTCAGAGCCCTCTCACAGGGCCAGGGCAGTCCGGGGATCTTGAAGAACATTAGAGGCTCATAGTCAGAGCACAGGCAAAGTGTGGGGTCAAACGCCAGGTGCGGAGAGGCGGGGAGGCGTCCCAGAGCCCACACCGCTGGGGCTGCCTCCTCTGCGCTGGGAAGCGGAGGTGCAGAGAGACTGAGGTGCCTTGTCTCACCCCTCTGCCTTCTCTCCGCCCAGCTCTCTCCCTCAGGGCCCGGCCACCCCTCCCTCATTCCTGACCCCTACCGGCCCCAGATCTCCACTCCCTCCTCTGCCTGTCTCACAGCACCCTTTATACTCCCTGCCCCAGCCCTGCCTAGAGAAGCCGCACCCAGCTGGACTCCTACAGACAGCTCAGCTCTCACAGCCCATGCCTAGGCGTGGCAGGGGCTCCATGCCAGGCTGCAGCTGGGCAGAGCCTGGCAGGCAAAGGGATTGATCTGGGCTGGGAATAAACAGCCTCAAATACGGGCCCTGTACAGCACACAAACAATGGCACTTGCTAAGCTGCCGGGGCTCTTGGGGAACAGAGTTTCTTTCCACTTTGTTAACTCCTTTCAGGAGGAATAAGCCCGACTAGGAGACTATAAGCAGTGTGAAACCTCAGAGAGGCCCCAGACTGTCAGCCTCCCAGGCTTCCTGAGTCCCTTTCCCTCCCCAGGCCAGCGGGCAGCGCTGCCCCGAGTGAGCCATTCCTGGCATTCCTAGTAATTCAGCCCCAGCCCCTAGCACTACAGCCTCCAAGTCTATCCCAAATCCTCTGTCCTGCAGCCAACAGTCTGCCCTTCCTGGGCTCCCCTCAGAGGCCACCAGCTGGAGCTGCTCTGGACTGTCTCCTGCCGCCTGGTCCACATAAGCCAGCCCCTTAGCATGGGTCCAGTGGCCTTCCAGCAGAGGCTAGGGGAGACTGGCAGTCACATTTCTGTACAGTCCCCACCCCTACTACATTTCCCACACCAGAAAATTCATCTCTTGTCCTCCCCATGACTATAGAATAGGCCTTTTTTTTTTTTTTTTGAGACAGGGTCTCACTATGTAGCCCGGGCTGGCCTCGAACTCATGGCGGCCATTTTGACCTCCGCCTGATGAGGGCTGGAGCCACAGGCGTGCATCGCCACACCCGGCTCTAGACTCTCGTTTCTCACTGTCCATTCTACTGCCTAATTTTGGGCAAGTAAATAGTCAACCTCTGGGCCTTAGGCTCCCTCTGGCCTGGATCATGAAAGAGAATGGGTCCCATTGGGAGCACTTTTATCTCTTGTAAATATACAGAAAGACATGGGAAGCATAAAAAGCCCCATGCCAGGTCTCTTGTCCCTGCCTGTGCTTCCAGGTACTTGGGGAGACTGATGCAAGAGAGTTGCTTGAGCCCAGGAGTTCAGGGCCAGCCTAGGCAACATGGTGAAACATCTCTCCTGCCCCTGCCTTCTCAAAAAAAAAAAATTTATTGTTCATGAAGGGAGGTCACAGGATCAACTATCACACCCAACATCTCTGAGCTACGTGTTGGAACTTTGTTTTTTGAGGTAGGGTCTTGTTATGTAGCACAGGATGGCCTCAAACTCGTGATTCTCCTGCCTGGGCCTCCTGAGTGCCAGGATTACAGGTGTGGGCTGTCACATCTGGTAGAACTAATTGCTTTTAAGAGATAGCTTTGGGGGGTTTTTTGGTTTTTTTGATACAGGGATTGAACTTGGGCAGTGAAACCACTGAGCTAAATCCCCGGCCCAGATAGCTTTGTTTTCTAATATTTTATTCATGGTAATTAAGTGAATTTACACTCTTGTGATAAATCCCCACAGAGAAGGGAGGTACAGAGGGGACCTGGGGGAAATGACTGACAAAGTGGATAACAGTGTGAGGCCGCCCAACCTGCGACACTGGGCATGGGAATGTGAGCATTCTTAAAATCTCAGACTTAAAAGGACCTTAGAGGTCATCCAGTCTGGCCAGTGAGACTAAAGGAGAGAAAGAAAAGAGGTAGTTGTTCCATCTGTGTTTTAGGGGGATGTAGCTGAAGACTAAGGCTTCTTTTACTGTCTGGAAGTTGTGATTTAGGGTGGGAGCAGCCCTCAGGACTTCTGGCCCCGGGAAGGTTTATTGAGGACAGGCCCTGCCTGGTGCAGACCCAGAGACTGCAACATCACTGGCACTCACTGGGGAAGCAGCGTCCACGCCTGTCCGGGCCTGTCCTCCCCCAGCCGAACGTGTTCTCCAGGAGCACTGCGTACCCCTCCCTGCAGGGTCTTTGCCTCACTAGGCGTAGGGCTGGGAAACAGCCTGAGTCCCAGCCCTCAAAGGATCTTTTCAAAAGGAAAACCATTGAGGGTGCCCCTTGTAATGGGGAAGGGGTGGGAAGAGAAGGGGAGGATGTGGGACTGGGAGACTCGCTGCCCAGCGGCTGGCATTGGGTGGTGCCACGGCCACAGCTGAGCAGGCACGGACACTGCCCACCTAAGATGCCCAGAGGTGACAGAGGGGGTCAGGAGGGCAGAGCTGCTTGTGGAGTGATTTTAGGTGAGGAAACAATTAAGAGGGCAGGGCTGGGGATTTAGCTCAGTGGCCCCGCCGTCTGCCTCACAAGCACAAGGTCCCGAGTTCGATCCCCGGTACCAAAAAAAACACTTATAATCAATGTCAGTCATACTTACAAATAAAACTGTGTGCGTGAGGCCCTGGGTTCAATCCCCAGCACCCCCACACATAAACCTCTGTTTTTTAAACCAAATTTCTTTTGTACTACCAACCTATCCTTCTATATATAAAGTTAGAATTATATTCAAAGACTGCATATTTAGTCAGTATTCAAAGATGGCTTCAGAGATAACATCAAATCTAATTAACATATCATTTGCATGCAGATGAAGAAGGGCCTCACTAAGCCAAAAGTTCTTTGTAGATTAGTGCTGTCCAACAATGATGGAAATGTTGTCCAGTATGGTAGTTATTAGCCGCATATGACTACTGAGCAATTGAAATATGGCTAGTGTGACTGAGAAACTAAAATTTTAATTTCATGTAATTTTAATCAATTTAAATTAACATTTAAATAAACACACATAGCCAGTAGCTGCTGTATTGGACAGCTCAGTTGTGAATGCTTGGGAAGGCATTTGATTTTCTTTTTCACAAGGGATTATTGTCCATTTGGTTATAGCTCATAGTAAAAGTGAGTTTATGTTCTCTGATCACATTCTGAGAAGTGCCAAAAGGCAACAGCTCAGAAGTATACTGGTTGACAAGGGCGACCAGCCTGTGATTTTAAACTGGTAGAGGGTAATTCCCACGGATGCAGTCGGGAGCTGACAGTAGCTAAGTGTAAGGACAAGCATGGGGCTCCAATCTAGCAGAGAAAAAACACTTTCTCCACACTGAGGATTGAACCTAGGACCTTCACAATGAGCTAAGCCCCCACCCTTTGTACTTTTATTTTGAAACAGTCTCTCTAAGTTGCCCACATGGGACTGGCATTCACAGTCCTCCAGGGAGGTGGTACAATGCCTGCCTATCATGGATAAGGCCCTGGTCTTGAGCCCCAGCACCACATACAAAAGAAGAACTGGAGGCCACGTTGAAGCTCAGCTCATGTTCTATCCACGCACTGCTCCCGGGGGCTGCTCCCTGCGCCTCGGTACTGGGGTGGCTCTTTCGCACGCCACCTGTGCTCCAGCAGGTGGTGTGCTGGTCTGGGAGGCACCCTGTGGCCCAAACTGAGTCCAAAGCTCTAGCAGAGGGCCGGGGGTGGCGTCCAGGAGGCTGGGACGGGTGCCTTCTACCCTTAGCTCAGTGTGAGAGGAGCGCCTGGATAGGAGACATCTCCTTAGGGTTTGACAACACAGATGATGCAGTTTGACAGCAAGGGGGTGGTACTGTTCAGAATTTAACTTATGCCCCAAATTCCTCAAACCTCGCTTCTTTTTGTTTCCTGGTCCCAGCCGTTATCTCCATTCTCTAAGCTAGAAATAAGAAAGTATCCTCCCAGTTGCTATCCAAGCGGCTCCAGGGCTGTAAAATTCCTGCTGCAACCTCACCTGACCCTTCTGCCTGCTCCTCCGCAAAAGCCCTGGGAGCGTCCCCAGCATGGCTTCCTTAGCCTCTTGCAGCTAGCTACCTCTGTGCGTGTGTGTGCGTGCATTGCGTGCATGTGTGCATGTGTATGGTGCTAGGGATTGAATTTAGGGCTTTCACCCCAGGTTGGGCTTGAACTTGTGATCATCCCACCCCAGCGGCCCCGAGTGCTGTGATTGCAGGTGTGGACCACCAGCCTGGCTGCAGCTGCCTCTTCTTCCCTTTGGTCCTTCTTGACTTTAGATCATTCCCCAGTTTCCTCTAAAATGATGATCATTTCAATAAAATGAGAGTGACTCTGCCACCTGACACGTGCAGACTGCCCCTTGGCCGAGTGCTGCAGCCTCCTCCGACTGGCAGGGTCTCCACGCTCTCCTCTGACCACCGCCCGGGTCTCTGACAAGCCTCCCGCCATCTGGACACAGTGGACCCTTTGTGCCGCTGTCCTGTCACTCCGCATGCCATGCTCTCTCTGCTCAGGACCTCAGCCCCGACAGCAGCCCCAGCGGCTCGCCTGCATCTTCTGGCAAAGCCAGCCCCCCACCACCACTGAGCACCCAGACCACCCATGTAGACTGCTACCTTCTCTGATGAGTATGTGTTTGTTCTCAGCTCTGTCTTCTCTGCTGCATCACAAGCTCCTGGAGAGCGAGAGCTGAATTCTGTCAGGGCTTGGCATGCAATAAGCATCCACATGTTGTTGAACATGTTCTTCAAGGGCTAAAGGTGTGGTGGTGCCTGCCTATAACCCCAGCAGTAGGGAGGCTGAGGCAGGAGGATCACCCAGTCTGGGCAATTTAGTGACTTAGTGAGACCCTGTCTCAAAATAAGAAATGAATAGAGGTGGAGATATAGCTCAGTGTGAAGGCCCTGCATGCAATCCCCAGGACAAAGAGAGAGAGAGAGAGAAGTAAAGGTAGGTAGGTTAAAGGATTTCTGTTGTTTTTATTTGTTTCAAACTCAAAATAGAGCCTAGAATAGAATTTAAAGATGGAGAGACAAAGACAAGGAGCTAGAGACGAAGGTGACTGGGAAGAGTCCCTGGAGTGGGCACCCAGAGGCAGGTAGACAGGGTGGGGGTGACATGGGGCCCGGGCTCAAAACGCTGGAGCACTGCCGAGCCCGTGTAGAGGACGATCCGCCGAGTGAAGACTCAGACTGCTCTTCTGTTTCCCACTCTACGGTCTCCAGTCTCCATGTCTGTCTGTCCCTCTGAGTATTGTTTTCCATAGCCTGGAAGTCTATGAATCAATCTCTTTTTGACTTAATTATGTTTCAGTTATGCAGCATAGTGTTGGATCTTATTTCACCTCTCTCCCTTTCTCCCTCTGCCTCACGCATATGGTGCACTCTGCCACTAAACTATGCTCCCAGACTAGTTGTGCTTTTGTTTTTTTGTTGGGTTGTTTTTGTTTTTGTTTTTTTGTACCAGGGATTGAACTTGGGACCTTGCACTTTTGAGGCAGGCGGCAGAACCACTGGGCTAAATCTCTGGCCCCTGGTTTTGTTTTTTGCTTGCTTGCTTTCTTTTTTTTTTTTTTTTGGTACCAGGGATCGAACTCGGGTCCTTGTGCTTGCAAGGCAGGCGACAGAACCAGTGAGCTAAATCCCTAGCCCTGGTTTTGTTTTTTTTTGTGACAGGGTCTTGCTATGTAGTCCATAGCTGGTGTTCAAAACTTTCTTTTATCACAAGAACCGAATGAGAAGCCAGGAACCACAGGACACACTTGTAATCCCACCATTGTGGAGGGGCTGAGGTAGGAGGATTCCAAGTTCTAGCACAGCCTGGGCAATTGAGTGACCTAGGGAGATGTCTGGAATTTTTAAAAAATAAAATAAAAAGGGCTGGGGACATAGCTCAGTGCGAAGGCCCTGGGTTCAAACCCCAGTAGCGCGCGCACACACACACACCAAATGAGAGAATGCTGCGTGCTGGGCCCTGTTGCTGGTTCACCAATCTGAACCCATTTAATCTTCCTAAGTCCTATGAAGTAGATACAATTTTTTGGTTTCTTTTTTGGTACTGGGGATTGAACTCAGGACCTTGGGCAGCGGCACCAGTGAGCTAAATCCTCCGACCCAGTAGATACAATTTTGTTTTGTTTTTGGTAGACAAAGCCACAAAAGTCTAGAGTGATTCATTTTTCATGTTTTCTGTTTTATATAAATTTTCTTTCTCTAGGAAAAGAAGAAAGACTTTGTTTAAAGTCAGTAATGGAACACACACACACACACCCTATACGGAGATCGAACTCAGGACCTTGTACTTGCCAAGCAGGCACAGTGCCACTGAGCTACATACATCCCTGGCCCTGGAATATTTTATTTATTTATTTATTTATTTATGTTTTTATTTTATTTTTTGGTACCGGGGATCGAACTCGGGTCCTTGCGCTTGTGAGGCAGGCGGCGGAACCGCTGAGCTAAATCCCCAGCCCCAAGATGCAAGTTTTGATCTCCCTTTTACAGATGAGAAATGTGAAGCGCAGCACTGAGGTGCCAAGTAACTTGCCCAAGGGCAGGATGTGGGTGAGGCTTCGGAGTCCCCGCTCGGAACATGGGACTCTGCTGCCTGTCTGTGCTGAGGGCTCTCCTCGTGTCGGGCTCGGCGGCGCCTCCTTCGCTCCTGCTCACCTCCTCTGCCCAGGCCTCACCCTGTGCCGGCCGCGCCCCAGGGTCCTCACCTCCTTCTCCCTTGCAGAAGTGCATTAGCAGAGGGGAGCTCCAGGTGTCCCTATCCTACCAGCCCGTGGTACAGAGAATGACGGTGGTGGTCCTCAAGGCCAGACACTTGCCGAAGATGGACATCACCGGCCTTTCAGGTAGCAGCTATTTACCCCACCCTCCTTGCCATCCCAGGGCCCCGCCTGGGAGGTGGGTGGTCGGTCAGGCAGTCAGTGGCTTCCTCCCTCTGTGGAGGTTTCCTGAGCTCTGCACAGACAGCACCAAGAGGTTCCCTAGCGGGAGGTGCCTTGGGGGAGCAGCTGTGGTGCCAGGCATCTGCCCCAGGTGAGGGTCCCCAGAAAGGCCCCGGAGGGCACCTGTGTCACAGGACGGCTCGGCTTCTCTGACTTCCGTCCAGGCAGGCAGACTCGGGCAGGGCAGTCACTAAGACCACAGGGAGGCACCAAGGAGGGGGCAGCAGAGCCCCTCCTGCTTCGCACGGAGACACCGTTATCCAGGGAGGGCCGTGTCATGGGCCTGTGTCTCTTCCTCTCTCTCCCCGGGCCCAGACCCATATGTCAAGGTGAACGTCTACTATGGCAGGAAGCGCATCGCCAAGAAGAAAACCCACGTCAAGAAGTGCACCTTGAACCCTGCCTTCAACGAGTCCTTCATCTACGACATCCCCACCGACCTCCTCCCCGGCATCAGCATCGAGTTCCTCGTCATCGACTTCGACCGCACCACCAAGAACGAGGTGGTGGGCAGGCTGATCCTGGGGGCTCACAGCGTCACGGCTGGCGGGGCAGAGCACTGGCAAGAGGTCTGTGAGAGCCCCCGCAAGCCCGTGGCCAAGTGGCACAGCCTGAGTGAGTACTGATCCTGGCCTCGCCTCCGACCCGGAGCCAGGCTGGGGTGTGGCGCAGATGGCAGGGAGGCGGACTCCAAACCTCATTTTAGGCATAGAAGAAGATTTCTCACCAAACAGAGCCCACAGAAAACACCCACATGGCCACGGCTGCAGATCAGTTCTTGGCAAGGCACTAGGAATTCTTCTGTTTTTTAAATGGGAAAAAAGCAGGGAAGACCCTGCAAGTCTATATATAACAATATAACCTTATCCTTGCATGTCTAATACAAGCTGAAGAAAGTAGCCTATCTGCCAGTATCAAGTTGCAGATTTTAACCCATGAAAATTGTGTTTTGTGCCGAATTGTATTTGCTGATTACCTGAAATTGGCGTCTTCTCATTGGGCTTCTCTCGAGAGGTGCTCCCACTCCCCACCTCTGCAGAAGAAAATTGTGCTCCTGTAAAACCTCACATTTTCATCATCCCCATCTCCTCTCCCACCTCACGTATCTCTGGGCTTTGCCTGAGCATCAGGCCCAGACACAAAGCCGAGAAGCAAAGGTGGGGTAGGGTAGCTGTGGCGGGGCTGGCAGGAAAAAGCAAGACCCAGAAGCAGGGTATTTTTGCTGCTGTCCCTCCTGCTGCAAAAGGGCAGTGGGCAGTTACGCTGAACTGGTAGCCCCCACGGAAGCACGTAGAACATACCGATTCATCACGTAGAACTTGGATCTACAAACCTAGCCGACTTCACGCTCAGCTGCAGGACAGAGCCCCGGGCATGAGCAGCTGACTCCAAGGTTACCTGCAGGTAGGAGGACGAGGAGAGGAGCAAGAAGTGCCTGCCGCCCCTCTGCAGCTCTGTCCGGAGTGACAGCTGTTTCTAGCTGATCCCCTGGGAGTCCTGGAGGCTGGAAGGCTTACCACTGGGCTTTGGCTCCCCAGAAACGCTGACTGGGAAGCTTTAGGGTCCTCTCAAGTGGCTTAGATGTTCTAATGAGGTAGTTTTGTTTTAAAAGGGAAAAAGCCCTCAGAAGTTACTCTTTCTCCTTGAAGTTTTCACTAATATGGATCTTTTTTTTTTTTGGTACCAGGGATCAAACTCAGGTCCTTGCGCTTGTGCAGCAGGCAGCAAAACCACTGAGCTAAATCCCCGGCCCTACTAATATGGATCTTTAAACAAAGAACCATGTGACTGAGTTGTAAAGATAAATTTTCCTTTCCCTCAAAATAAAGTGCATCGTTCTTGGGACTTTGGGTCTCAGAGTCTCACTGTATGGAAAGGGTGGGAGGTCCAGTTCAGTCCTCCCCGGCTGCTGGCCAGGACAGGCTTCGAGTCAGCCTCAGGCTGCAGCCAGAACCCAGGCCTCCTCCTCCTCCCTGGTGCAGGCTCCGTAACAGTGGTGAGCTTGGGTGGGCAAGGCATGGACAGCCTGAAGGGGAACTCAGATAGCAGCAGCTCCACCCAGGGTGAAGATGAGCGAGTGCAGTGTACACTTCCACACGAGATCATCGCTTTCTGACTTGCTCCTGAGAGGGAGTGAAAAGCTGAGTTTCCATGGAGAGGGTGGTGACATTCCCCTTGGTGTCCCCTGGGCTCTTGTGGATTTAAAACCAGTCTGCTCCCTCACCCCATCCTCTGCTTTGGTTTTGTTTTAACCTAGATTCTTGACAATGCAGAGCAGTTCTGTGCAGGCAAAAGCCTCTTCTGTGTCCCAGCCCCTGCCCAGCGCTCCCCCAAGATCCAACTCTCTCCCATCACAATTGGGGCCACACCACTAGTCTCCGTCCTAACCCTAACCCATGGAATGTAAATATTGTATCATACGTAGAAGAAAATAATTTTTGTTTTCTAAAAATGCATTTTGAGATAGTTTAATGTAAATCTGGCAGGAGCATTCTGAAGCCCCATTAGGAAAAAATTTAAATGGTTCCTCTTCATCGCCTTAATGTCTAAAGATCAGAAACCGCTGAGCAACCCGCTTTTGTTTCCTTGCCAGAAACAATGCAGAGCGACAGGTGGAGTCGGTCTGGTCTTTGCCCTGCTGTGTGTGCCTCTGTAGCTCCTCCTGCCCCATGACTGGGGAGACAGCCTCTCCCACCCCAGTCCCGCCTCCTGGTAGCTTTACTCCTTGCATCCTGGGTCTGTGGGCGGTGGATGGCAAGGTGATGGGAGGAGCTGATCGCTCTGTAGGCTGCCGGCTGCCTCGGTGCCTTTCCCAGGAGAAGGCAGAGACGTGGCCCACACTGGGTTCCTCCCTCCAGCCTCAGGCCTGACCCACCCTGCCCTGGAGTATGCTGTCCCAAAGTTTCTTCGCTGACTTTGGCTTTCACATTTGTTCTTTGCAGAGAGAACTGGTAAAGGGGGAGGCAGTGCCTCTTCCCGAGGGTCATTTGACAGACAAGAGAGTCGCATCCTAGCGTTCACACAAGGTGCTCGAAGTCAGGAATAGGTTAGGCAATGGTCTCGTCCAATTTTCCAAAGCTAATCCTTCTCTATGGATACCTTGCTCCCTTTGGGAAGACAAGAGTTTTTCTTAATAACGAAGTCCCTTTATGAGTTGTTCCTTCCTTTAGTTCCCAGATGTACCTGTTTCCTAGCAGTGCTCTAGGCAGGAAAGCAGAACTGCTCCATGGGACAGGGTGGGGGCTTGCTAAGGAGAGGAGGACCCAAGTCCTTTTTCTCGGAAGCCTCTCACCATGGCTGTGACAATGACATTGCCCTCGCCATGATCCTCTCCGAAGTGGTGTCTTTCTTTACCTTGTGTCTTCTCTTGTAAAAATGAAACTCAAAGATAAACACGTCAAATTAAAAAAGAAAAAAACGAAAAAGCTAACATTAATTGTGTGAAATGCATAATGCTGTAACACTAACCTACAATATGTAATGCTATCTTGTATGTTGAATTGTTAATGCACCACACGAGTGCAAAATAAAGACTGATTCACATTAACACACACAGTGACGTAGGCTCGATTCTCTGGGAAGCTGGCTGACCACAAAGGAAGGTCACACTCAGACACCGAAAGGGTGGGGAGCATATTTTCCAAACGGTGGCCTCGGATGCCTGATTCAGGCTCATCTGGGGCAGATTGGGGTGGGGGACAGCTCAGTGATAGGGCGTGTGCTTAGCACAACCAGATATATGCCTAATAGGACACAAGGTGTGCTTAGCATGACAGGATGTGTTTAACAGGACACAATGTGTGCTTAGCATGACATGGCATGTGTTTAGCATGACAGGATATGTGATTAACATGATAGGACATGTGCTTTAGCACTACAGGGTATTGCTCAGCATAACGGCATTGCTTAACATGACAGGCTATGTCCTTAGCATGTGCAAGGCCCTGGGTTTGATCCCTAGCACAGGGTTGGAGGGGGTACAGCCATGAGACTCACATCGAGGAGATGACTTAGTTCACCACTTGTTCTAATCTTTGTTTTCCTCTTGAAATGTGATCTCTTTTTGGGGGTGGAGGGAGATTGAGACAGGGTCACGCTCTTCAGTTCAGGCTGGCCTTGAACCCACTGTGTAGCCCAGGCTGCCCTCGAACTTGCAGTGATCCTCCTGCCTCAGCCTCCCAAGTGCTGGGATGGCACCTATGCACCACCACGCCAGGCTTGTTGAAATGTAATTTCTAAGACCACCAGGAGAATGCTGAGACTCAGTCTGCCTCCCTAACTGGAGATGTTTGTTCTAAAAAGCACTGCAAAGACTGGTTGATTCTGTTTTCTCACTCATCAATCAGCAATGTCTGTCTATCAAGTGTGTACTGTATTTCAGGCCCTGGGGATACAATGCATGGATAAACAAAAGTCCTGTTTTCTCAGCGCTTAGCAGAGGACAAGTATTAATGAGATAATCACACTCATAAATGCATAATTACAAACTTGAAGGTAGTCTGTAGGGAAAGGATCAGAGGTGAATGCAATGTAGGGTGAATATGACCAATACAGTAATTTAAGGAGATTTTTCTCAAAAAATAAAGGGGCTGAGGATATAGCTCAGTGCAAAGACAGTGGGTTCAATTTTGGCAGTAGACAAAGCCACAAAAGTCTAGAGTGATTCATTTTTCATGTTTTCTGTTTTATATAAATTTTCTTTCTCTAGGAAAAGAAGAGAGAAAGCAAGATTTTTTTTAATTTTTTTTTTTATTTTTTGGTACTGGGGATCGAACTCGGGTCCTTGTGCTTGCGCAGCAGGCAGCGAAACCACTGAGCTAAATCCCTGGCCCAGCAAGACTTTTTTTTAAAGTCAGTAATGAAACACACACACACACACACACACACACACACACACACACCGTAGCAGAGATTGAACTCAGGACCTTGTACTTGCCCGGCAGGCACAGTGCTACTGAGCTACATCCCTGGCCCTGGAACATTTTATTTGTTTGTTTGTTTGTTTATTTATTGGTACTGGAGATTGAACTTGGGTCCTTGCACTTGCAGGGACCAAGGTGGTGGTGGAACCACCGAGCTAAATCCCTGGCCCTGGAACATTATTTTAAATTACAAAAGTAACATAAGCACATAAGAAAGTGAGGAGCCTGGTGTGGTGCATAGCTGTAAACCCAGCATTTGGCAGGCTGAGGCAGGAGGATTGATGTTCAAGGACAGCCTGAAGTACACAGCAACACTGTCTTAAAAACAACAAAAATTGGAAAATAGACAAAAAATCAAAATTCCAAAGCCTTAACAACCACTTTGTCTTCTAACCTTGTTTCTGAGTATTTTTCTCCCTGATGCATCATTCAGAGTCACTATAGCAAATATGTAAATAGCTGGGCACAGCAGCGGCGGTGCACAACAGGCTGTCACCCTAGCACTCAGAAGGCTGAAGCAGGAGGATGCCACAGTTCAAGGCCAGCTTGAACTACACAGGGAGCCAGGTCCTGTCTCAAAAATCCAAAAATAAATAACACAAAGAAACAAGGAAATACATAAAGTATCCACTCATAGAACTGGGAGAAGTCTACTTAGAGGCAAACATTGTTGATTTTGACACATTTTCCAATTTGTTTTTATCTTATGGCTGTGATCATATCATGTATCTTTTTTTTTTGCAGTGCATATACTAGACTAAAGTTTTTTTGGGTACCTCTGACATTTGCTTAAGACTCTGCTTGGTCTTCAGGAACAAACACCTGGAGGTGCTCTTAAGGTCCAACAAGATATGTACAGAACATTTTGGATAAAATCTTAGGAACTAGGGCCGGGGATTTAGCTCAGTGGTTTCGCCGCCTGCTGCACAAGTGCAGGGACCCGAGTTTGATCCCTGGTACCAAAAAAAAAATCTTGGGAACTCTTTAACTTCCCAGTGTTCAGTCCCAGCAAGCTGGGAATTTACCTCAAATGTTGTATTAAATTTCAGGCTAATTGCTCTGGTACAGTCATAAAAAGGGATGGTTTTATTTTATTTTCCATCTTTTTCTCTTTCATATATATATATATTTGGGGGGGGGGGGTACCAGAGATCGAACTCGGGACCTTGCGCTTGCGAGGCAGACACCACTCTTTATATATTCTTTGCAGTGCTGGAGATTGAATCCAGAACCTCACTCATGTTAGGCAAGTGCCCTACCTTTGAGATACATCCCCAGTTCATATCTTTAAGCTAATATAGTTATTTATATTTATGGTATACAGCACAGTGCTTAACACTATGTGCACGAGTTGGCAGAGTAGTGCATTCCTGCTACTTGAGAGGCTGAGGCAGGAAGATCATAGATTTGAGGCCGGGCTGAGCAATTTAGCAAAAACCCCTGTTTCAAAACTTTAAAAACAATGGCTGGGGAGCTTCTGGGGAGAAAGCTCAGTGGTAGAGAACCTGTCTGGCATGTGCAAAGCCAGGGTTCAATCCCCAGTACTCCCCCCCCCCCCACACACACACAGTGCACACCATGGAATGGCTAAATCAAGCTCATTAACATATGTGTCACCTCACAATACTCATTTATTGGTGATAAGAACACTTAAAATCTGGGCCGGGGGACCAGGGATTTAGCTCAGTGGTTTCACCGCCTGCTGTGCAAGCGCCACGACCCAAGTTCGATCCCTGGTACCAAAAATAAATAAATAAATTAAATTAAATTAAATCAGGGCTGGGGATTTAGCCCAGTGGTTCTGCCCCCTGCCTGGCAAGCACAAGGTCCTGAGTTTGATCCCCGGTACCAAAAAAAAAAAAATCTCTCCGGGAAATTGTCAACTATATAATACACTTATTGATTATAATAACTATGATGTACAATAGATCTCATGAATTTATTTTTTCTGTGTGAGACTTGGACCCACATCTACCCAATATCTTTTTGGAGGGGAGGGTAATGGGGATTGAACTTGGGCCTTCTCCCTGAGCCTCATCCCAGCCTTTTTTTTTAGAGACACAATCTTACTCAGTTGCTAAGGTGCTCAGGCTAGTCTCAAACTTGTGATCCCCCTGCGTCAGCCTCAAAGAGTGCTGGGCTTACAGATGTGCCTCACCATGCCTGGCTATCATTTCTTTTTGATGGTTACAAAAATAACTAACATAGCTAGCAGTGTTGGATATTATTTTAAACATTTAATACACATAGAATTCATTGAATCTTGGCAACCCTGTTAGAAATAGTTCCCGTCCTCATTTAACAGTGGAGAAAACAACTGAAATCCAGGACGTTAACTAACTTCCTCCAACCCCACATGGCTGGGAAGGTTCCTGCAGTTTGCACAGCACTCAGGGTGGAGAGTTCAAAGATGCAGAGAGAGCCTCAAGGGAACTACTACAAATTGGAATCTACCCCTGGCTTGTGTATGTGTTGGGGGGGGGTTAAGACAGGGTCTCGCTAGGTAGCCCAGGCTGGCCTCAAACTCACAGCGACTCTCCTGCTTCAGCCTCCCAGGTGCTGGAAGCACAGGCATGTGCCACCATGCACGACCCCCCGTTAACATTTAATGATTGTTTACTGAGCAGCTGAAATTGCTGCTCATCCCTTCTCCTCTCGCCCTCCCTCTGTTGGATCCAAATCTCTCACATCGGATTTTGCACTTTGGGATCAGAAGTGCCCACAGAGCAGAAGTGTGACACCAAGGTCACTGTGCTTCTTTCTATTTTTCTGTCTGGGGATCAAACTCTGGACCTTGCGCTTTCGAGACAGGCACTGGAACCACTGAGCTACATCCCCAGCCCCTGCTTGTTTCTTTTTCACAGCTCCTTTGTGTCAGAGGAGCCTGGCCCGCTGCGCGACCCGGCAGGCAGGACTCGGACGGGTCCAGGAAGCAGGCCCCAGGCAGCCGAGGGAAGGCTCTGTCTCTCCTGCTGTTCATTCTGACTTGGGGCTGCGGAGAAGTTTGGCCAGGGCTGGGCTGGAGCCCTTCACACCCTCCCTGAGGCCGGGCTTGCCCTCAGCCCACCTCCTCCCCCAGAGGAGCTCTGTCTACAGTGTGTCCTGCTGTCCTCGTGGTGGGGGGTGGGGGGTGAGCAGCTGGGACAGACGCACATCACGTCACTTATGGGGAGTGGGGCTGTGAGGCAGAGCGGGCAGAATGTTCTGGATGCCGCGTGAACAGGTGCGCCAGCCGCCAGCACGCTGTCGGGTTGCACTGGGCCTGCACTCGCTTTCCTGTAAGCCTCAGGTTCAGGTCCGGGCCGCAGCGCCTCTCCTGCCCTCTCCTACCCACTCCTCGGCAGGGAGACAAGAGAAAGCCTACGGACTGAGGTGGAGACAGGTCCAGAGCCGAAGCTTTGTCCTGGCTCAGCCCAAACTGTAGGAAGCTCCAGCAATCACTACTCTGGGAAGGGCAGGAAATGAGCCATGTCCTCACCCAGCAGCTTTTGTTCAGAAAACTGGGTGACTTCATAGCATGATCATGTATGTGTGGAATTAGGCCCAGGACCAAAAGTGGCTCCTAGAAGCTTTTTTTTTTATTTTAGTACTGGAGATCGAACTCAGGACCTTGTGCTTGTGAGGTAGCTGCTGCACCACGAGGTACATCCCCGGCCCCCAAAGCTTTTTTTCCTTTGGGGACCAGGGATTTAGCTTAGTGGTTCTGCCGCCTGCCTCGAAAGCACAAGGACCCAAGTTCGATCCCTGGTACCAAAAAAAAAAAAGCTTTTTTTTAAAGCTTATTTCAGTAATTTTTGTCTCAAGATCAACTAATGTTTAAAAGTTGGCTAAAGCTGGGCATGGTGGTGCATGCCTGTAATCTCAGCACTGGGGAGCCTGAGGCAGGAGGAGCACCAAGAGTTCAAGGCCAGCCTGAACTACATAGTGAGACTCTGTCTTAAAAAAAAAAAGTTGACTAGAAACTTGAGAATACCCAAACATGAAAACCTAACAGTCTCCTGTTCTCTCCAGAGTCCTTCTAAATTGCTAAGCCACCCTAGCTGGGCTCAAACCTGGGACCCTCCTGCCTCAGCCTCTGGAGTAGCTGGAATTATAAGCATGCCCACATCGCCTGGCAGAGTCTCTCTTCATGTTGCCTATTAGTGCCCTGCTTTTCCAGACTACAGGACCAAAGAGCACACAGCGGGCACCTTTGGTTAGGAAAGGTACTGCAGCCTAAGGAAGCTGCTGTGTTCCATGGCCTCGGGGATCAGGTCTTCGAGGCTCCGGAGATGGATTCCTTAAACCGTGACCACATTTTCCTAACAACAAAAATTCACCCTGGTGCCTGTGGACCTTACTTGGTACCAGGTTCCTAGTGATGCCCAACATGCAGCAAGCAACTCGATTCAACTGTTGGAAGGAAAGTGCCTTTCTGAGGTGAAAACCTGGCCAGCCAGGAGCAGCACACGAAGCTGCAGCCTGTAAGCTGAGGAACAATGACCACACAGCCATCCTTCCATTCCTACTGGAGGGAGAGAACTGTTAGAAATTTCTGAGCAAAATACTGATATAGCCAATGACTTCCCTTATGGTTTGTTTGTTTTTTTGTTTTTGGTACCGGGGATCGAACTCGGGACCTTGCGCTTGCTCAGCAGGCGCCAGAACCACTGAGCTAAATCCCCAGCGACTTCCCTTATGGTTATGCCACCTAAATTTTAGTTCCAGCTAAGCTGGTGAAATGTGGGAAGAACAATTTGAAAATTAATTCTAATTTGAAGCTAAGCAAATCCAGGATTAGTACAAGCCCAACATTTTCAGTATTGAACCATCTCTCATGCCAGGTGCTTTCAAAGTTAGCAAGGATCTAACGGGGTGTGGTGGCACACACCTGCATCCCAGCACTGAGGGAGGCAGAGGCAGGAGGAGACAGAAGGGCCAGAAGGGCAAGTTCTGTATGCACAACTGAGCATGACGCTGTCACAAAAACAGACTTGGAGATCAATGGAACAGAGGAGAGGATACGGAGAAAACTTACATCCAGCAATTTAATCTCTGATAAAGCGACCAAAAGCACATTGGAAGAAAGAGAAACTCTTTAACAAGTGGTACTGGGAGAACTGGCTGTCTCCACACGCAAGGTGGAGCCTAGGCCCAGTCATCTCACCACACACTGAACTCAAAAGAAAATGGATCAAAGGTCTAAACATTAAAACAGAAATAAAACGGGCTGGGGATTTAGCTCAGTGGTTTCATCGCCTGTTGCACAAGCGCAAGGACCCGAGTTCGATCCCCAGTACCAAAAAAAAACCACAAAAAAACCCCAGAAATAAAACAGGTAAAACTCATGAAGACAAAGGTTTAGGCAAGGACTTTTTGAGCAGAATCCCAACACCACAAGAAACAGTACCAAGAATCAGCAAATTTGGGGTCACATCAAATTAAAAAGGTTCTGCACAGCAAAGGAAACAAAGAGCAGAGTAAAGAGACAACCTTAGGGCTGGGGATTTAGCTCAGTGGCTCCAGTGCCTGCCTTGTAAGCGCAAGGTCCCGAATCCGATCCCCGGTACCAAAAAAAAAAAAGAGAGAGAGAGAGACAACCTTTCAGGCTGTAGATTTAGCTCGGTGGTGCCACTGCCTGTCTCGAAAGCACAAGGTACTGAGTTCAATCCCAGGTACCAAAAACAAAGAGAGACAACCCTCTATTTCCCACAGAATGGGAAATAATTTTTGCCAACTACTCCTCCAACAGAGGACTAATATCTAGAATATATAAAGAACTCAAAAAGAATCAGACCCCCCAATTAAAAGCCCCAATTGAGAATGGGCAAGTGAAATGAACACTCTTCTCAGAGGAAGTACAAATGGCTGATAAATACATGAAAAATGTTCAGTATCGCTGGCATTTGAGAAATGCCAATTATTATAAAACTACACTGAGATTCCATCTTACCCCAGAAAGAAGGGCCATCATCAAGAAATCAAATAACAAGTGATGGCAAGCCTGTGGGGAAAAGGAACCCTTCTAAACTGATGGTGGGAGTGTAAACTTGTACAACCACTACGGAAATCAGTCTGGAGACTCCTCAAAAAAACTAAAACTAGAAATTCCATGTGACACAGCTCTTCCCCATCTAGGTATCTTCCCTAAAGACATCATACCACACTGATACATGCGCACCCATGTTTATAGCAGCACAATTCATAACAGCTAAATCTTGGAAGCAGCCTACATATCCATCAACAGATAACTGGATAAAGAAAATGTGATATTTACACACCATGGAGCACTACTCTGCCACGAAGGATGACAAACTTGAGACATTTGCAGGAAAATGGATGCACCTTCAGACCATCATGTTAAATGAAATAAAAGACACACAGGTCAAATATCACATGGTTTCTCTTACATGAGAAACCGAAATTATAAAGAGCAAAATAAGAAGTAGATAACAGGAAGCAGGGAGACAGATTTTTCTCAAATGGGAAGGGGATCAAGCGGTGAAGGGCTAGGCAGGGGAGGGAAGGGGATGAAAAAGGAAGGAATATGTGTTAAGAACATGCACCAACTCCACATAAGGAATGTAAGCATTTCGCACCACAAAAATGCACTGATAAAACATTCAGCCCTGGAGTGTCCCTGAGGCCTATCAGCAGAACCACAAAACAAAACAAAAAAATTAACAAGGACCCTAAGAAGTAAGACGTCGAACTGTTAAACAGGTTTCACCCTTCCTGAGACTGAGTTTGAGCAGAGCCTGCAGCCTTCGACCCAGCCCCTCAGAGGCCAAGGCACAGGACTGATGGGCAGCAGCCTGGGCCACACAGCGAGACTGGCTCACAACAAGACAAGAAGACTGCGTTGGGAAAGTGGTAGCGATGCAAATTATTGATCATTTATACTAGAAAAAAATTCAAGTTAAATTCACTCTTCCATTTACCTGCTCTTCCATTAGCGCTGCAAAAGCCGAGCCCTTCCGGACGAGGGCAGCCCTTCCCTGGCCCGGCAAACAAGCCCTTCGCCTCTGCCTCCCTCCCTTCAGGTGCGGGTGCGCAGCCCAACCTGCTGCTTAGCTTCAGCCAGCTCCGCCCACCTGTTGTCCAAGTCCATCGGCTCAGGCTCAGGGCCTTCCCACGTGTTTTTGTTTTTTTGAACTCACCGAGTTCAATCTCCAGTGCTGCCAAAGTAAAAATTCAAAAGTGCTAGTGAGGACACAAATACAGTCCTCCGATGTCCAAACCAGTTCCTCGCTAAGTAGAAAAGACAAAAGCAACGACCTTTGCTGGAGCGATTATCCTTCCCTCCTTGTTACACATCTGAGACTACCGAGTAGCTCTGGGCTGGAAGGCTGTGTGCCAGCCCTCCCCACATTCCCGTCGCCTCATGAAGAGGCCGCGTCTTCAACCCCAAGGCCTGCGCCTGCTTGCTAACACTTGACACAGGGCCTCCTCTGTACTTCGTTGAATACAAAAATTTTTGGTTTTCTCTGGAGCTGGGGGTCAAAGCCAGGGGCATGCTACCACTACACTACACCCTAGCTCTTTTTAGTTCTTCAAACAGGGTCTTGCCCAGGCTGGCCTCTACCTTGTGATCCTTCTGTCACAGCCTCCCCAGTAACTGAGACTACAGGCATGTGCCACCACATTTGGCTCAAATTTTTTTTCAATCATTGTTTTTGGTTTTGGGTTGGGTTTTTTTGAGACAGCATCTCACTGTGTTCAGGCTGGCCTAGAACTCGGGGTGATCCTCCTGCCTCAGCCTCCTGAATGCTAGGATCAGGGGTGTGTGCCACCATTGTTTTCTAGAATATAAAATCTCATGCTATTTTTTCCTTTTTAGGTGCTGGGAATTGAACATAGGGACTCAAATATGGTAGGCATACTCTACACTGAGCTATACCCACAGGCTTTTATATTTTTTTCTTAAAATCATCTTTTTATAATGATTCCAAGTATTTCTATCCACTTATAGATAAACAAAAGAAAAGCCCAACAAAACTGTTTAAAAGTTTTGTATTGCGTCCTACAAACTGTCTTCATATACAAGTGCAAAAGGGAAAAACTCCCTTTTTCCCAAACATCACAGTAGGCAGGCCCCATTTTTGCTCATACATCACAAAGTTAAAACAAATGTCCCCTTCTGAATTCTGAACAGCTAATTCTAGACACTAGCTTTTCCATGTTTGGCTTTGGTGTTTAGTCTAGGCTGGCCTGGAACTCCTGATCCTCCTGCCTCAGCCTCCGAGGAGCGAGGATTGCAGGCGTGGACCCCTAGGCCCAGCTTGGTTTTTTTAATAATCTTGTCTTACACATCCAGTATGGACACGAATAGTTCCAGTGCCTTTCAACTCCTTCCTGAATGTCTCTCTTTGAAGTTCCAGGTCTTAATTAATTTGAATGCCCTCAGACTGGATAAAGTGGATTAGAGCTCATAAATTGCCTACGCTCAGAATAAAGCTGTGACTTACACGTTGTACCCTGACACCGTCTAGCAGTCCTCCTCAGCACCATCCAAGAGACTGGTTCATCCAAGGGGCAAACACGTGACAGAGACTGCCCCAAAGTCCCTGCCTGGTGGCTTCTATACGCAGTGCACGTTCACTTCTTACAGACCCTTCGGGCTGGCAATGTCCTCCGCTGCCTTGATGACCTTCGAGAATTATACAGTGACACTTCCTCGCTGGGTGCTAATGGCAATTCCCTAGGTCATCGGTAATGAGAAGCTGAGGCGCTGAACGTGAAAGGCCTGAACCAGTTTACACGAGGTGCAATATCACAGTGGAGCCGTGCTGCGTTTCTTTTCTGCCTCCCGTTCCCCGTACTGTGGTTCCTGAGACCCACAGACTCAGCTCGTGGCTCTCACTTCTGGATGGGTTGAGCACCCGAAACAGGGCTGATCCACTACAGAGTGTCTCAGGGTTTCACAAGGGACCACTGCTCAGAGCTAAAAATGTTCTATCGGTCACTTTTCTTTACATCTGGACCCTAGACCACTGATCTATAAAAACCCCACAATAACCCTGTCCTCCTGCCTTTAATAGCAGTGGAGAAGAGCAACTTGGGCCGGGGTCTTTTCCAGGGGTGCCACAGCAGGTTGCCTGAGAGTCGAGAGGAGATGAAGCCGCTCCAGTGACACTGCTACTCCAGGGGAGGTGCCGCCCTCGCCCTTCGGCGAGCACAGGCGTAGATCGCAGAGCGCTCGCAACCGAGTTAAAGCTGTTCCTTCCTAGGACTACAGTTTTGCAACACGCACACACAGCCAAGCGGTTTTCTCTTAGTCTGAACTTTGTCAAGGCCACGCAACCCTGAGGTGAACGCTGTAAGGTCCTTCGCAGGCAATCTGCAGGTTACAAACTACACGTGGACATTAAAGCTTCCAGACTGACCCAATGAACTGAAAAGCCACAGGCTTTTTTTTTGGTTTTTTGAGACAGGGTCTCACCATGTTCTTCAGGCTGGCCTTGAACTCGAGGCCACCCTGCTGCCTCAGCCTCCCCAATGCTGAGATTACAGATGCACGCCACCTGGCCACGTGCTCCCTTGGAACCCTGAGCCTAACAACTCTGGAGGTCAAGGAGGCACATCCATGACATATTCAAGCTCCTGGTGTCTCCTCTGTACGGAAGATGCAGCCGGCCAAACACGGGCCCTAAAAAGCTCTTGCCAGGGCTAACTCCTCTGAGCACAGAGAGCGAGCACGGGGGAGCAGTCTGCACCGAGTGTGGGTCCTTGCGGACACAGGCCTGCTCACGGCACTGGCTCTCCCAGCTTAGGATTCAGACACGGGTCAGCAAGCCAGTAACCGCTCCCAAGCATTTGCCTTTGAAGGGAAAGAAAGGCAAATCCTTAAAAAGTCTCCAGGGGAGAGCGTGACTTCGGCTCTCACCCGCCTGGGCAAGTGTGCGTTTCTCAGCAAAGCAGGCTCCTCCCACTCACACCTTGCAAGTCCCGCTCCTGCTCCTGCTCCAGTCTGCAACAGGAGCCAGCTCCTCAGCTGTCTGGGTGCTGGTCTTTCTAGCACTGAGTTCTCGTGTCTCCAGGAAGGGCATGCGGGAAGCAGGACCAGGCCCTGCCCTGGCGGTCCCAGGAAATGAGGCGGAGGCGGACAGGGCCCCGCTGTGCACTTGCTCACACACACACACAGGGCCACACACTCTCCTGTGCGAACGACTCCCGTGGATTAATATCAGCAACGTGACCCCAACAGTGGCAGATCAAGTCCTAATGTGACAACTGCAAAGCAGACAGCGCTCTGCTGGTTAATCAGAATCAACTAAGAAATGATACTTTAAACACCACATCACTGGAACCCCGAGGAGCCGCATCCCCCTCATCAGGTACTTTTAGAATAATGGTCATTAGCAGGAGAAAGAGCAGGCACCAGTCACTACTGCAGGTTATGGAGGGCGCTCGGAGCAAGCTCTGCAGCACACAGGGAAGCGCCCGCCTCCTCAAGTCACTGAATCCTTCTTCTTCCGGAATGGGGACTTCAGCCTCTTCCAGACACTGCTTCTGGGTTTAGATTTTTTCTCCATGGCCAGTACTCCCTCCTTTTCTTTCCTACGGATTTCTCGGACAAGTGCATGGAAAACATCATCAATGTAGTAGCGGTATGCAGCAGAAGTCTCAAAAAAGGGACAGCTGAATTCTCGGGCCAGAGCCAGCCCTTCTTCCTTGGTGACCTTTAAAACAACAAACATGACCAAATTTATAGCGGAAAAGTGGGAAACAATTACAACTGTTAAAAAACCAAGGGGCTGCCTCAGCAGGAAGACAGCTCAACTCTCCAAGTGTACAAGCACAGGGCTCCATAATACAGGGAGGCCCTACTTCATGACTTCTAAGCTTGCTTCCACCTTCAATATGCATTTTTTTTTTTTTGGGAGACTAAAAAAAGCTGTGACTATGCAGTTCAGGCTGGTCTTGAACTCATGGCACTCCTCCTGCCTCAGCCTCCCAAGTGCTGGGATTACAGGTGTCCACCACCATACCAGTCCTTCTATATGCAATTTTTTCTTCATGCTTTTTTTTTTGTTTGGTACCGGGGATCGAACTCAGGTCCTTAGCTTGCAAGGCAGGCGGTGGAACTACTGAGCTAAATCCCCGGCCCTTCATGCTTTTTATTTTAAGAAAGAAATGGGGCCAGGGATTTAGCTCAGTAGTTCCACCGCCTGCCTTGCAAGCTAAGGACCTGAGTTCGATCCCCGGTACCAAAAAAAAAAAAAAACAAAAACAAGAAAGAAGAGCCAAGCGTGGTAGTCCACGTCTGTATTCCTAGCACTCAGGAGGCTGTGGCAGGAGGATTGCAGTGAATTTGAGGCCAGCCTGAACTACATAGCAAGACCCTGTCTCAAAAAAAAAGAAAAAAAGAAAAAAAAAAAAAGGAGAACACAGGGGAAAGAGATATATACTGAAACTACAACACTGAAAACTTTTAGAAAACTAAAAGTTGATGTAGCCAATTACTTCAGTTATTTATTTAGTTTTGGTACCAGGGATCGAACTCGGGACCTTGCACTCATGAGGCAGGTATGGTGCCCCTGAGCTAAATCCCCGGCCCAGCACAATTTCATTTTTGTTTTGCAGTACTGGGGGTTAAATCAGGGCCTTCTGCATGCTAAGCAAGTGTCCTACTGCTGAGCTATATTCCCAGTCCTTTTGAATTATATTTTATGACAGGATTTTGCTAAATTGTCCAGGTTGGCCTTGAACTTGTAATCCTCCTGCCTCAGCCTCTCAAATAACTGGGATTACAAGCATGTGCCACCATCCTCCCAGCTCAAACACAAAATTTTAGTCATTGCTAACTTGAAGGGTTCACTTATTCTAAAATCATCTGCATCTTCTCTTGTCTCCTCTTCCTGGGTTCATAGCCCTCACCACAGGAGGGGCCCTATTAAATTTCTCTCCGAAGTCATCTGGTTATAATCCAGCGGATTCTGTCCTGTCAACTGATTCCTAAAGTCCAGATTTCAACCTTAATAATAGGAAACAAATACATATATGACAAATTTCAGGGTTGATTTTTCTATTTGAAGGCAAAGGAATCTGTAGCAAAAATCATTCACCCTACAGATTCCAGTGTTTTCTTTTTCTCACCTGTCTTAGCTGTTTCAAGTCAGACTTGTTTCCCACGAGAACCACAGGCGTGTCATCCGTGCGCCGAACGCGGTAAATAAGCTGTTTCAACTCGCGAACTTCATGGAAACTCCGGCGATCCGTGATAGAGTAGCAGATGATGAACCCTTCTCCAGCCCTCATGTACTGATCCCGCATGGCTGTGAACTCTGCCTAGAGGAACACGGGGGTCAGTATCGTACAGAGGCCGCCTGGAGCTACACAGACCAGCCACTTGGCTCAAGTGAGAGAAGAGGTGCGCTGGTTACCTGCTATCCTGAGCAGAGCGCACAGAAAAGTAAAGAGACATACTACTGACCTCTGTGTGACCTCCCCTGCCCTAACTCACAGTATCTGGGGATTTAATACCTGTCCAGCTGTATCCAAGATGTCCAGATTGGCAGGCTCATCATCAATACGGATCCGGATTTTATAAGCATCTTCTACAGGAGAAAGGAAAGCTGTACTGTTAACACACACACAGGAAGAAATATCTATTTTAGGAGGATCACAAGTTTGAACCCAGCATGGGCAACCTAAGGAGACCTTGTCTCAAAAAGAGAGAATTAGGGCTGGGGATTTAGCTCAGTGGTTCCACCACCTGCCTTGAAAGCACAGGGTCCTGAGTTTGATCCCCAGTACCAAAAAAAAAAAAAAAAAAAAACACACAAAGAGAGAGAGAAAGGGAATTAGCCAGGCATGGTGGCGAACTAGCACTCAGGAGGCTGAGGCAGGAGGATTACCCTGAATTGGAGGCCAGCCTGAACTACATAGCCAGATGCTGTCTCAACACTCCCCAAAATAAATAAATAATCCCTTGAGTTCAATCCCTTGTATCACACTCACCCCCTCAAAAAGAATCATCTTTTGAAGATGATTCCACTCAACTTCTTTCAAGTGTCCAAATTTCCTCAGGAACCCTGATAAATCCACTGAAAGATGTAAGCTGGGCCAGGGATTTAGCTCAGTGGTTCTGCCACCTGCCCTGCAAGAGCAAGGACCCGAGTTTGATCCCCAGTACCAAAAAAAACCGAAAGATGTAAATTGGGTGTTCAACTCAGGTATTATTTTTTCCATACCGGTGGTAATACAGCTTACTCATAGATTAAATTAACTATAATTCTATGCTACAAAGGTTTCTGAGACTGGCTGAGTTGGTTCACACCTATAGTCCCAGCCCTCAGAGGCTGAGGCAGGAGGACTGCTGAGAGTTCAAGGCCAGCCTGGGCTACATAGCAAGACCCTGTCTCAAAACAAAAACAAAAAAACCCCAGAAGGTCTTCAAATTAGAGTTAGATAAGAGATAGGACATAACCCAAGGCTGCTTCATTCAAAAGTCTGTGCACTTGATTATTATATACTATGGATCCTATTCATTTTAATACTACAGAAAAAGGAAAAAACCATAGTTTATATTTTAAAAATAATCCATATTGTCATAATTTCTCCCTTATAAAAGCAAATTTCTTTTCTGCATATATTATTATTATTATTTTAAGAAAGAAAGAGTTTCACTGTGTTGCTCAGGCTGGTCCCAACCTCCTGGGCTCAAAGATCTTCCTGCCTCAACCTCTCTAGTAGCTAGAATTACAATATGTGCCACTATGCCTGGCTTCTTTTATATGTATTATTATCATAAACCTATAAAATATAGAAAAGTAAAAAGGAAGAGAAATTCATTCAATATTTTTATTACTCAAAACCAACTGGCACTTATATCCCAATGAACTTCCTGATAACCATTTTTATAAATCCTTGCTTTCTAACTCCTCTTCAAAGATGAAGAGCCCAAATGTTTCTTTTCTTTTTTATTTTTTCTTTACACTAAGTTATATCCCCAACCCCTCTCCCAGGGAGAGGGGATCGAACTCAGGACCTTGCACTTGAAGGCAGGCACGGTGCCACTGAGCTACATCCCAGGCCCCCTTCCCAGCCCTGTTTAAAAAGAACATTTTTATTTTGAGATAGGGTCTCAGTAATCACTACCCATCCTCCCGCCTCAACCTCCCAGAGTCCCAGGATTACAGGTGTGTACCACCACACCCAGCTAAACCAAGTTTCTTAAACTATAAGTAATCATCTACTAGGGTTAATGAGTCGTGAAATCAACTTAATGGGCTGAGACCAACATTAAAATTAAAAACCAAAAACCTAGGGCCTGGGATTTAGCTCAGTGGTTTCGCCGCCTCCTGCACAAGCGCAAGGACCTGAGTTCGATCTCTGGTACCAAAAAAAAAAAAACTACCAAAAACCTAAACAAAATAGAAAATATGAGTGGGTACCACAGGTACTAAGGGAAATATAGTTTCATATTTTAGTTTCAGTGCAAACATATGTGCTAATAAAGAAGTATACCTAGACACACACACTTTTATGCTTGTATCTGCACTGGCTATATGCAGACTTTTCCCTCTTAGAGCTTGTAGCCAAAGTTTAAAACAAAAGATTCTAAACCGTCAACTCCATCACAGCGGTCACCTTGTTTCTGCCTGCCACTGTCCCCCAGGTCCTACCACAGTGCATGGCACATAGCAGCAGCTAGGAGCCACAGGATTTACTGTGGAATATGATAACACTGTCAGGGAGCTGACAACACTGAGGGGAGACAGGCAGATTTAAAAACTACCTCGTGTGAAGGCCAGGGCTTTAGCTCAGTGGTACCGAACCTGCCTCAAAAGTGCAAGGTCCTGAGTTCAATCCCCAGTACGGGCGGGGGCGCACGACTACCTCATGAAGCTGGGCCTGGTGCCACACACCTGTAGCCCCAGCATTCCGGAGGCTGAGACAGGAAGATTACTACAAGTTTGAGCCCAGGCTGGGCTACATAGTGAGTTCGAGGCCAGCCTGAACTACTGTACATAAGAAAGATCCTGTCTCAAAAAAAACCCTAAAAAGTTAAAAAACAAAAACCTACCTCATGGGGCTGGGGTGTAGCGCAGTGATAGGGTGCCTGCCTATGGTATGCAAGGTCTTGGGCTTGATCCCCAGCACAGAAAAGAAGAAGGGAAAAAAGAAGAAAAGAAAAATAAAAAGTACCCAACACATGAGAAAACTAAAAAGTACCTATTATATGGAACAAATATAAGAGTTTTTCTTTGAAGGAGATGTTTCTGGAATTTTTAAGTAAACAATCCTAACCCCTGAAGGTTTTTTTTTTTGCGGTGCTAGGAATGGAACCCAAGCCCTCACACGTGCTAGGCAAGCTCTCTGTGTGGGGCTACATCCTCAGACCTCTAAACTGATTTTATTCCTAATTCTACACCCACAGGACAATATTCTAAATCCGATATACCAGGGCTTGGGTGTCACCCAGTGCCACAGTGCATAGCTGGCACACATAAGGCCCTGGGTCAGGTCCTTAGCACCCCCGGCCTGCCCCCAATCCACAGAAGCATCTACCCCATACGACGATACACCCAAAGCTGTGCTGCGGCGGACACCGTGGCTCTGCGAATGCGGAGCACCAGGGGCCTGGCCCAGGGCAGGGGAAATGCTTCCCACCGCCGGTGCGGAGGCAGACGCCACCGTGAAATGACACCAGGAGGGCAGACTTTGTGCCGCCCCGCCCGGGCTTTCGCACACGGATGTAACCCCTCAAAATCCAACCCACTTCCTGTTGCTTTAGGGATGACAGCCATGTCTCAGTCTGTGTAGAGAACGGCAATTAAGAAAATAAAAAGGTAAACCAAACAAAGTGACTTTTTAACTCTACTGGCACTGTGACAAAACAAAGTTAAAGACACGGAAGAAGACATCACTGTACAGAGAACTCCAGGTGTAAGGAAGGAAGTGAAAGGTTCCAGTGCAGGCTCCCAGACCCCGCAGGCACGCCTAGTTTTTAGGGGTGCAGTAGGCTGGCTCTACTTGTTTTTCTGCTTCCTTTTGTGAAAGTTCAAACCAGCTGACTCATTCTTAAGAGTCAGTCCCAAGTCAGAGCCTTAGAGAAGTCACAGCAAAAAGGCTTCCTTGGCAGCATGGACGTCTCCCCATGGTCTGACATTAGTCCGCCGGCCCAAGTATACAAAGAAAGTTGTCCTAGTTATGCCCAGCTCGCAACAGAAATAAAGGCACCTAGATTCGTAGAGTTAAGTTCGGAAAAAAGGAAACACTCAATTGCTTATCAACTTCTATGGTAACATTGTTTCTAAACAAATCTGAATTAGATGGCAAAGAGGAGAGAGGCTTTTAACAACTGGCATCCACCCGGCAGCTTCTCAGAAAGCAAGTTTAGGAAGCCACCCGAGGGTCTGACTTACCAATGGTGGGATCGTGGTCTTCTGGGAATCGATGGCTGATGAACTGCATGGTCATAGCTTCAAAACAAGAAACGAAAGTTAAGCCAGGCGTGTGGCACAGGCCTATAATCCCAGCACTCAGCAGGCGGAGGCAGGAGGATCGCCTCGAGTTCGAGGCCAGCCTGGGCTACATAGCGAGACCCTGTCTCAAAAAACAAACAAAAACCCAAAAGAACAGTCACCTACCGCTCTTGCCCACGCCGCCGGCGCCCAGCATCACCAGTTTGTACTCGCGGGACAGCGCGGCCGGGCAGCTGCAACCGCCGCCCCCAGGCCGAGCTCCAGCGTCCATGGCGCGCGGCCGCCCGAGCAGGAAGCGCCTGGGAGCAGAGCGGCCGGCGGCGAGGAGCGAGGCCCAGGAGCCCCGCCGCCGCCGCCCGGGACCCAGGTCGCAGGGGAGCGACTGACTTGGATGGCCCCGGGCGGGCCGCGCCGAGCGAGCGGGAAGATGGCGCCGCCCGCGCCCCGTTGGGAGGCCCAGGCCCCGCCCCGCCCCGCCCCGGTTCCGAGCAGCTGGGGCCTCCCCATCGCGACACGCGCCCGCCAAGGACCGCGATCTCTGCTCGCCACTCCGCTCGGGCTGTGAAAACGGGCAAGGGCAGAAGGGGCGACTCCCGCGCCCGGCGCGGCGCTGCTCAGAGTGGAAAGCGCCCACTCCCGACGCCGTCTCCGGCTCGGCTTGTGAACCGATTCGACCTCGAAGAGCGACGCTATTACCCGAGGCAGAGCTCGGGGAGCCCAGAACCTGAACGCGCACAGGAGAAAGTACAGAGAGGTCTGCTCTTTGAAGCACCGCTCTGGCAGAAAGGAAAAGCCCAGAACTCCCAGAGGCCTTAATTAGAGGCAGTCGCTGGGCAGCGTCCGGCACCGGGACTCCACACTGGACACTTCCGGGCCACTGCTGCCCGCTGCTCTTCATCAGTTTCCCCCTAATCCCCTGAAATAAAGGTGGGCAGCGATACGAAATGGAACATATCTAGGACGATCGTTACAATTTTCCCCTGGACTTTAAGATTATACTTTGCGGAGTTACGAACTCATGGAAGTAAATGCAAACTGTGAGTCTGTATACATTAGGAGGTGGGCTGTAACTGCATTACAGCTGTGAGTCAAAAAGAAAAACAATTTCTGTTGTTTTTTGAGGCAGGGTCTTGCTATGTAGGCCAGGTTGGCGCTGAAATCACTGTGACCCTCCTGCCCCAGCAGCGAAGGGCTGGGACCACATTGCAGCTGTTTTTGTGATGGATGGGTTGTGGAAGAAAAAGAACACAGAAACCACAAGCAGAATATTTATACATTTATTTATATTGAAATTATGGTCTAATTATTTACAACATATAGGAAACCAGAGAATTAGGGTTGTACAAAGCCAGCCTGCAAAGTATTCAAATGTGCAAAAATGACAGTTCAGAATCTCAAACTACTCCTGGCTCAGCAGACTAGCTCCTCCACTTTCACACATCAGTATCTGATACAAAAAAGTTCTTTTGGCAAAACCTGTAATGCCAAGAAAAAAGAAGCTGCAGTTCAGTCGCTAAGTGCACCGTCCCATCGGGTGCAGTCAAGTCTCTTGTAGCTGCACCAGCCCTGGGAGAGACAGACCGCTGTTTCACGTGTGATGAGAGATCAGCTTTTAGCCAAGCAGCGGTCTCTGACCCAGCCGGAGGCACGGAGCTTAGAAGGGCAACAAGAACAGCCACAGCTGTCTGAACAAGTGCGCCTCGCCTGAGGGCACCAGCTTCACATCATCCCAATAAAAAGACACTTACAATGAAAGGTAATTTCCTTTTCCTATTCAGGGTCCATCTGTATCCAATATTTTTAAATTAATAAAACAGTATTTTTCAAAACAAAGAATCCAAACTGAAATAGGGATGAGGATCTCTGAGAATTAAATATTGAAAGTAAAAGACAATTTTAAAACTATTTCCCCACTACTGAATAGTAAGGCTTTGTTTGTACCCAGTGAATATCAAAACTGACCCAACAGTAGTAAAATACAAATAAATCTTTATGTCAGGTTTGTGGCTATGCATGTGGAAAAGGCTGGACCTTTCAAATGTACATGGGAATCATCCTACTGGAATGCATCGTCTGACAAACACATTTCACCAACTGTTAGAAAAGCTCTGAGACAAATTTGTGACCTTAAGTAAATTTTAACAGAAGTTAATGTCACTGCAGAAATAAGAATGTTTTTAAAAAGGAATGGAATCCCTTTAAGAAAAGGGACACTGCATTTCTAACTTCTGCAAGGTCCACGATGGCTCCCAGGCACAGGCCTCAAGTCTTGTTAAATCAAATGCATGCATTATTGCTAAAAGTCTCTGAGGTCAAAACTCCGTTCCACTGCTTCCTACGGGGCCATCCAGAATGGCATCTGTTGCTTAGCTCGTGGCTGTGATGACGGGTACTGATAGCCCAAACTCCAGCCCTGTGGAAAGCTACTTGCATTTTTATGACCTCCATGCTCCTCCTCTTCATCAGATGAATCTGCAGCATAAGCCACTAAGCCAAATCCCTTCTCTGTAGTTTTCATCTTCTTGGCGGGATAATCTAGAATAGAAAAAAAAACAAAACCCCAGCCCCATTCCCCACCAAGGGAAAAAAAAAAAAGATAATACCATAAATTCGTTAATAAAAAAAAAGATGTTAATTGTAAGTAGTTAGTTGGACACCATTTTGAGGTCACAGGGTCATGGTCACCCAAAAATGTTGAAGATCACACGAAAAACAGCACCAGCATCAGCAAATGTGAATCCACCAGAACCATGTAAGAAAACAGAGAAAGAAAAAAGAAACACACACACAAAAAAAAAAAAAAAAGAAAAGAAAAGAAAAAAAGGAAAGTTAGCAAATGAGTCTCTGGGGGCTGACAATTCACCTTTTAAAGAGTTAAAAAGAAAAGAAGTCAAGAAAAGAAAAAAATTGTATTTTCTTCTCATTTTTATTATGACTATAGGCAAAGAACAAAACTGACCCCATGCACCTCCAAAGGATTTAGGGTTCTGGGATTCTAGAACCTCAGCTATAGGGGCTATGGCTCAGCTCCCAGTACAAGGAAAAACCCATCTTTACCAAGTCTGTAGCCCATGGCCTTCTGGGATTCAGACAACACTGACCACAGAATTTTGAAATGACCTACCATTCATTAGTATCTCCTAGGATTTGTATGTCACTGATGCTATGTGTAACAAACAAGTCAACTGACTCTTCTAGACACACGGTGGTAGAAAATAAAAGCCTCATAAATTTTAAGAAGAAAGTATTCTCATTAGCCAGTAGATTGCAGAGGTTGGACTAAACACCTGAATGATCATCATGTTAGAAAACCAATGGTTTAAGATCAGTCCTACTCAGTCACAACCTGCTCGCCCAGCTCCACCTTACTCACCATGGCTCCCAGGCAAGGTCCCAGACCCATTCCTTTCATCAGACTCTGTTTTTATTCCAGTCACTGGAAAGGCTGGTGGAGGCATCAACTGCCTGTTAAAAGAAAATAAATATTTCTGTCAAACTCAAATTTTTCACTTATCCAGTAGATAAGAGAAGTCCAATAAGGTCTGCAGATAACCCTTTGCTCACTTCCCCCACCCTCCAGTCTTCAAACCACTATTAGTCTAACATTAGAAAGCCTGTCTGTGGAGAAAAGCCACAGCAAACACCGAATGAACTGCTGTTCTCAATCTAGGAGAGGAGACTTCGAGCTCTGGATGTTCTCCCCAGCAAGTGTCTCCACCCATGGCATGCTGTGTTCCTAAAGCAGTAAAAATGCCCAATTGTGTCACATTTCTGATCCTGCCCACTCTCAGGAAAATGGCTAAGAAGATGGGCCAGGGATTTTAGCTCAGTGGTGCCGCTGCCTGCCTTGCAAGCTCAAAGTCCTGAGTTCAATCCCCAGTACCAAAAGAAAAAAAGTTAGAAGGAAAATGGCTAAGATCACACAGTAAAAGTACAGAGGTACCTCAGTGCACAAACTGAATTCTTTCCACAATTCTGGTTGCAAACCAGATCAAATTTTGTGGTTAGGCTCAATGTTGACCGTATGGGGAAATTTGATACGGTTTTTGTCCAGGAACCAAAATCGTGGAAGGAAATCTGTGAGCCGAGGTAGCACTGTAGGTGCAGATTCTCAGCGATTGAGTACTGCAGCATTCACAGCTGGACATGCTCCACTCCGTGAAAGACGTGCCATCACATTTTCCATTACCGCTTCAGTTATAACAGGAACTTCTTTGATTCAAATGCTGTCACTTCAGAATACTGAAGCTTAAAGCAATGATCCAAAATCACACTAATGGTGCAAACACGAGGCATCTGAACACATTCCCAGAATTGTCCCTAGTAACTTACCTGTCCCTCTCTCGCTCTTTGCCTGAGGAACTTGCTGGCTTCGATCCTGCACCTTCGATCTCATTCTGACTGGAGAAGCCTGTACCTAAATTAGTCATATGAATGGGTCCATGCTATGAGCAGAAAAATACAGTAGCATTAGCAAATCTACAACTGCTGTATTGACTTCAGCTCCTTAATGTAACTGTCAAGTGTCTCATCTTTCTGACAAATTGCAATAAATTAAACTGCACTACATACTCTGGCACTGGCATTTAACTAGTCAAAGTAGATTTTTCTGTAAGACTCAGGCATGCTGTAATTCACTATCTTATGCTTTCAACTGACTGCCCTAACTCAATGGATTTCTAAAAGCCTAGTTATAAACTGTAAAAATGCTCTGGCTTAAAGAATGCCTCAAGGGTTCTGGCATGACATAAAGGTGCTTCTCCCGATAAAACTGCACCTACCACCTGAGGTGTCTGGGACTGAACCCATAGCCTTCCTTACACATGCTAGGCAAGGGCTGCACTAGAAAGCTACTGCTCCAGTCCTTATTCTTTCACCAAGTTCTTTTCTAGGGGAGGGAGCTGGGGAGTAGGAGGGTCTTAAAAAAAAATCATTCTCTTTTTTAAAAATAAGGGCCGGGGCCAGGGATTTAGCTCAGTAGTTTCACGCCTGCTGCGCAAGCGCAAGGACCCAACTTCGATCCCTGGTACCACACACACAAAAAAAAAGGGTGGGGGGGCACAAAGGGAATAGCAAATTGAAAGCCAAGTTTAAAATTGGCAGATTGATAGCTTCTGGTGAGATATGTAGGAGAGTAAGAAAAATCAGAGGCGTTCATGAGCCTACTGTATCAATATCGGGAAACACAGAACTCTATAGAGACCATTCCAGACATCAGTCATGAGACTTCTAATCACAGAGCTTTGTATTTTCTCATCACACTGATCCCAACCACAAAACCTACTCCAAAGAAATTAATTCCTCAAGAATAAAATCTTAACCTAAATGGATTCCAGAAAGCAGAAATCGTAGTACTAGGGCAGCTGATATGGATGTAAATGTATCTTTCTTTAAAGGGAGAACAGAGTAGGA